CTAATGTGTACCAAAAATATTTAGGTATGCTGGTCTAAACACATATATTGGTGAAAAGAGCATACAAAAATGCATAATTCTAGGGGAGACAATTTTGCAAAAGTATGCATATAAGATAAAAAATGCATACATGAACATACCGTATATATCAGGAGAAATGTGTGTGTAAATGCTGGTGAATTTACAGAATGACTTTTATTTTTTAAAATTTCAAACTGGTTTGGAAATGTGGAGAACTGAAGACAAGGTTAAAAAATTAAGAAAGTGAGAGAAACTGAAATTGACAGATTTGTTCATCTCTACCTCCAGCTCTGCTATTCTTTCTCTCTGTGTGTGCCTTTGCTATTAGAAAATATGTGCCTGCCACAAAGGTGACCATTACAGTTGTCATACTTATGCTACAGATTTATTCATTGAATCTTTCTCTTGCCCTTCATTTGATTAAAAAAAGAGCCACAACTCTCCCTCTGTGTGTTTCTGTGTCTGTATAGGTTGGATTGCTCACATTCAAAAGGCTGCCATCACAAGGGACATGGGGGAAATGCAGTTCAGTTCATGCTTAAAGGTTACCGTATTTTTCGCCCTATAGGACGCACCGGCCCATAGGACACACCTAGATTTTTTTGGGAGGGAATAAAGGATTTTTTTTTTATTCCCCCCCCCCAGGCGCGGGGCTGGGGAAGCCCAAGCTTCCCCCGACCCCAGCCCCCAGAACAGGAGCCAGAGCGATGCCGAAACTGCATGCATCGCTCTGGGAGCTCGCCGGGCTGGGGGGATAGCTTCCTGAAGCCTGGAGAGCGAGAGGGGTCGGTGCGCACCGACCCCTCTCGCTCTCCAGCCTTCAGCGAAAGCCTGCATTCACCCCATAGGACGCACACACATTTCCCCTTCATTTTTGGAGGGGGAAAAGTGCGTCCTATAGGGCGAAAAATACGGTAACTTACCTACCTTTTTTATTCCTGATACAGAGACACCCTTCAAAATGTACACTTGTGCAAATTTTGCAGTGCACTTCTACAACCAAGTAATGTGCAGAAATATGCATATACTATGGTAAAGTGTGCATTAAAGTAACGTATGGTAGTGAAACTAAAATTTAAAAACACATTGTACTAGGGGAAACTGTTTTGCAAAAACGTGCATATGAGGCAAAATTGCTGGCAAAAAAAAAGTATGTATATTAGGAGAACGTCTCAGTAGAATTTTCATAAGGGCTTAACACAAAAATCACAAACGAATGTAGAAATGTGAAGGGCTGAATTTAAGACTGGAAAAATGAGACTCAGAGAAACCGAAATTGACATTCACCCATTCCTAGTCACCAACAATAAAGAAAAGATAGGTAATATATAGCTCCTATATGCCACCTGGTGGATAAGGAGAAAATAACAAACTCCAATTATGATAAAGGTAAAGGACCCCGGACAGTTAAGTCCAGTTGCAGATGACTCTGGGGTTGCGGCGCTCATCTCCCTTTACTGGCCGAGGGAGCCGGCGTTTGTCTGCAAACAGTTTTTCCAGGTCATGTGGCCAGCATGACTAAGCCGCTTCTGGCGCAACAGAACACCGAAACCAGAGCAGCGCATGGAAACGCCGTTTACCTTCCTGCTGGAGTGGTACCTATTAATCTACTTGCACTTTTTCGCATGCTTTCGAACTGCTAGGTTGGCAGGAGCAGGGACCGGGCAACTGGAGCTCACCCCATTACGGGGATTCAAACCGCTAACCTTCTGATCGGCAAACCCAAGAGGCTCAGCGGTTTGTACCACCCTGACCATTAGGTCGTCGTGACCGACTCTGGGGTTGCGGTGCTCATCTTGCTTTATTGGTCGAGGGAGCTGGCGTACAGCTTCCGGGTCATGTGACCAGCATGACTAAGCCGCTTCTGGCGAACCAGAGCAGCGCACGGAAACGCCGTTTACCTTCCCGCCGGAGCGGTACCTATTTATCTACTTGCACTTTGACGTGCTTTCGAACTGCTAGGTTGGCAGGAGCAGGGACTAAGCAACAGGAGCTCACCCCGTCACGGGGATTCGAACCGCCGACCTTCTGATCGGCAAGTCCTAGGTTCTGTGGTTTAACCCACAGCACCACCCGCATCCCTGGTTTAGACCACAGCACCCTCCAATTATGATAGTTCATAGCAATTAGCAGATCCTGCCACAAAATGTCACATAGGGTGCTTCCAGGTGGTGTGTTTATTTGAGCATCCATCCTGTTTTTCTTGCAGGGACATTAAACAACACTGGCTACTTCATGAGAATTGCCTCTGATTTGTTTGTGGGGAGGTTAGACCACTTTGGGCCAAAGCAAAAGTTATTCCACGCTTTCCAGTGCATTTTCCAGTTACTTTTCTGATTGCAAAAAGTCTGATCTTTGGGGAAAGTGGGTTAGTTTTAAAACAACTCCAAGTCAACATTAATTTAGCAGCTTGTACTTGAATTCCACCCTTGGATATGCTCATACCAATAACTAACTTAGTTGGTCTCTAAGGTGCTACTGGAAGGAATTTTTAAAATTTTGTTTCAATCACCTAACAGTGAGGGTGAAGGAATCACCGGAAAAGTAAGCTTTGAAAGGAGGGAAGGAGAGAAAAAGAAAGGAGCAGAGTTGCATTACCCTAAGTACTGTCATAAAAATTCCAGGTGTAAGAGATGGCATGGAAGAACAGGCGAGTCTATTGAAAACAAGTAAGGGAAAGGATAGCTGCCTCGCCTTCAGATAAACTTATCTAGGATTGTTGTGTCTTGAGTCTCTCGCTCAAGGCCAACTCAAGAGCTCTTGGTGCCTAAAATCATAAGATGGCGTCCCACCTTCTTTCTGGGTATGGGAAGAGTGTGGGGTGGGGGAAAGGTTATGTCCTATATTTGAAGAGTTAAGATGCTTAATCCAGACAGGAATGTATTATTACTAAAAGGTTGTTTGAATATCACAAAAGAACAGTTGGCAGCAGGTGTGTTTTTCTAACATCGACTTTTAAATGGAATGGGTAAATTCAGGTTTAAAGGGGGGAGGGATATGAGCTGCCATTTTGATGCTAATGATGTTTTCTGAACGTTGCAAAAAAAATGCATGAAGAAAATCAAAACAACAAGAAATACCTGTCTGGAAGAACTCTTAGAAAAGGTTTGCTGGTGTGTGTGTGTGTTAAAGGCTACAGTGTATTTAGGGCAACATACACGGGTGGCGCTGTGGGTTAAACCACAGAGTCTAGGACTTGCCAATCAGAAGGTCGGCGGTTCGAATCCCCGCGACGGGGTGAGCTCCCGTTGCTTGGTCCCTGCTCCTGCCAACCTAGCAGTTCGAAAGCACATCAAAGTGGAAGTAGATAAATAAGTACCGCTCCGGCGGGAAGGTAAACAGTGTTTCCGTGCGCTGCTCTGGTTCGCCAGAAGCGGTTTAGTCATGCTGGCCACATGACCCGGAAGCTGTACGCCGGCTCCCTCGGCCAATAAAGCGAGATGAGCGCCGCAACCCCAGAGTCGGCCACGACTGGACCTAATGGTCAGGGGTCCCTTTACCTTTACCTTAAAATATAAACGTTATTTCAACCCTTCCTCCTCTCAAGGACCCCTTGTGGGTGACAACAGCTTAAAAGACAGCAAAAGACATACATTTGATTTTATGTTCCTTGGTTTTGTTTTCACTTTATTAGTAAAAACCAGAAAATGACATGTATTTACAAGCAAAGTAGCAACCGTATAACAGGATGTTTTATTAAAGTTAATTCACACAGACTTAGCTTGTGTTGTTTAGAAACATTCAGGTTAAACTTTTCTGTTAGGAATTCAGATAGTCAAAAGGGCAATGTAACTGGTCGTGCATGGCAGGTGGTACATGAGAAAGCAAGTCTGCTAGGCATATTGTGACTATATGGTAATATATTTGTGACTACAGACACGCTGTTAAGACCATATTCATGGAAGACAATCTTACGAGTGATCGCCAAAGAAAGAATATATTTGTGACTAAGAAAAAATTGAAAATAAATGTATTGCATACATTTTAAAACTTGTAGATGCAGAACCTCCTCCGTGCTGCATATATTTGCATAATGTTCATGCACAATCCTTCAAGTGGCTTTCTGCTGAGCTTCCGGCTCACAACCTTTGCTTCAAAAGTCTTGAGGAAGTGATATTCTAAAGTTTTCTGCAGGTCCTTTCCCTTAACAGCCATTCCCAACTGGGATCTGGAAAGCGAATGGCTCTGAATTCAGCCGGAGGCTGTATATGCACTGGAAAGATCTATGCCATCCATTTAAAGCACATCTAAGGAGCTATTTGGCTATTTCTAAAAGAATTTTTAAAAGATTGATAACGAGCCAATATTTAGAGATTTTTAGGGGAGCAAGGTTGACAGCCAAAAGTTTTACTCAGACGTATTGAAATTAATGAACCTGAGTCATGCTCGTTAATTTCAATGCTTGTACTCTTGAGTAAAACTTGGCTGAATGCCACCCTCGATCCCAGTGAAATAAATGAGGCGATTTATTAGCCGCTCAATCAAGCGGTACACCTAATACACACGTTATAGGGGAGAGAGAGAGAGAGAGAGAGAGAGAGAGAGAGAGAGAGAGAGAGAGAGAAACCCCCCCCCCCCCGCCGCCGCTATCTCTGCGCTTAGGAAAGCAGGAGACGGCGAGAGAAGCGGACGCGCGCCCGTTTTATAAATAACAGGAGCGGTTGCGCGACGCGCACGCAAGAGAGAGGGGCTTTCCGCTCTTTTGCATTTCGAACGCGCCCTGGATAGGCAGCAAGCCCGCCCAATGGACGCCTCCCCGTCTACCCTCGCGGGCCAATGCTGAGAAGGGAAGCCCCCCTAAATCTAGGCGATGACGACAGCGGCGGGGCGCAGCAGAGCGCGCGGCCAGGCCCTCGCCTCGATCGCGGGCGACCCGTGAGGCGCCAACAGAGAAGCTCCGCTGGCCCTCCCCCCCCTCCCCTTTCCCGCCGCCACCTCCTGCTCCTCCTCTGCTCGGCGCCATTTTGTGAGCGCGTCCCACCTCCTCCCCCACCCGCTCCCCTCCCCACCACCCCGTTCCGCCGCGCGCCATTTCTCTTCCCACGCGCTCTCTTTCCCCGTCTCGCTCTTTTCTCTGTGGCAAAGCGACCGGGCGCCATGTTTGTAAGGAAGACATAACCAGACCAGCCTCCTCCTTCTCCTCCTCCTCCTTTGCGGCCAACGGCACCTCTTCCCCGTCCCCTCCGACCGACCCACCACTCCCTCTTCTTCTTCCTGTGGTGCGTGTGTGTTGCCTGTTGTTAAACCCCCCTAGCCCCTATCTTTATTTTAATTTTATTTTTTGAAATTTGTGGCCAGCCTCGCCCGGCCCAGAGCGACCGTTAAAAGCGCCCTTTTCTGGGGGCCGCGAGCGCGCGTGTGTGTTTGCGTGTGTCCCCGTGCCCACCCTTCCCGTCACTCAGTAAAAAACCGTGAGTGGAAATCTTCGCTGCTTCTTGCTGAGGTGGTGGGGGGGACCCCCACGCGGTCCTCCTCCGGCCGCCGCCGCCGCCGCTTCTGCGTATATTTGTGTGTGTGTGTGTGTGTGTGTGTGCCTTGTGTCTCCTCCTCCCTCCTCTTTCCTCTCCCAACGCCCCACCACGGGCAGCAGTGTCCTGCCTTCCTCCTCCTCCTCCTCCTTCCTCCTCCTCCCTGCACACACAGCCAGAGCCAGCACAATGGCCTTTGAAAGCCTGTTCTCCAAGCCCCCAAACCCAGTTCTTGACCAAAACATGCCCGACTCTGACAGGCAACATGCAGGGGACGAAAGGTCGAGTAACGTTCTTCTCTCTCTCTCTTTTTTTCTTTTTTCTTTCTCTCCGCTTCTCAATGGTGATAATAACTAAGAATGTGAGATGATGGTCGTGGTAATAATGATGATGATAATGATATTGTCTTAAATGTACCTAGGTGGGGTTTTTTTTTAAAATGTATGTAACATTGTACTGGGGAGGGGAGTCACCTTCAGCCTGAGGGAGGAGGGGGGGTGTTCTTAATACAGGAACAAGGATGTCTTTTGAGGAGGTTTTTTTTTTGTCTCTTCAAGGTGCATTTTGCATGCATTCCCCCCCCCCTCACATTTCATTATCTTTTTTTAAAATCCCATCTTTTCATAAAATGCACTTTACATTGGGTGTCTGTATAATGTCACTGTTGTTCTTATCCTCCCATATATCCCTTACTGCCATTTGAAATCAAAGAGTGTGCTTCTCTCCCCTCCCCCCTTTATACATGGAGCTACGTGTAAGTGTTTACACCTTACACATTTAACTGGATCTCTTTTTGTGCAGGTGAAGTTCTGTTCGATTTTATCTTTTCCTCCTTTCAATCCCTTTTGAGCCAAGACACCAGAGGGTTTTTTTTCCCCTGGTTGAGGTCTTGTGCCTTGCTCTGTTTTCTCCAGCCTCTTGTTTTCATAAGATCTGGCTCTTCTCAGTTGGTTAAAAAAAGGGGGAACCTCTCTGAAATTATTATCTGTCATTCACCAACATGTATTCAAATCCTGTTCCTTAGAACACGGTTTGTAATTGTATTCCCCATAACAGCAAGCCTACCCATGGTCCACATTCCCCAACAACCATGTACAATACTGGTTTATCAAAGTGGTAAAAAAAAAACATAACATAACCCCTAATTCATGTAGTAGCATTGTAGGTTGTATACGGCTTTCATCTTTTATAAGCCAGGATACAGAGACAAATGGCAATTAAAATGATTTGGACAGAGCTACAGTGAATCGGACTGGGCCTTGTATCTCAGATCTACATATCAGCAGTCCTTCATAGCTGTAGCAGTTTAAAATGTTCATGAAACAGTTTGTACTGCAAAGGATACTACCTGGTGCAGTATTGTTACTTTTAACATAGTCATAAATGCAGCATGAGTTTTCCAGCAAATATTAGTTAAAGGAAAGGCTTGCACATTACTGAATTATTAATAGACCTGGAGCTAATTATCCTAGGAGTTCTTAAGAGATACTACTCTTTTGAAAGGGGAACTAATAAGGGGAAATCAAAGATTACTACATAATGCAATGTGATCTCGTAGACATTTAAAAACAAAAAGTATGTCAGAAAAGCAGGTGACCCTCAAATCTATTGACTAGCAAATCTTCTGAGATACATTGGAATTGTACTAAGTAGTTTAAGCACAGCCAAAGCCTGTAAACTTGTATAGCTTTGCAGAAATTGCAGCTCCTAATGAACTAATTCCCCTGCTAGCCTATCAAATCTCTGAATGTTTTTTATGTTTCTTTCTAACTCCCAATAATAAATTAGACCTTTTTATAGGTAGATAACTTTAATATTGGAATTCCCTGAATTGTTATTGGAAAAACAAGAAACATTTACTCTTTCTGCAGAATCTCAGAAACAGTTAAGTTGCAAACCAAGAGGGAAAGTCTACATGGAGAAATTTAAAATACAATGGGAATTCATTTTCCTTAGTTCTTAGTTCTTTCGTGCCATACTTTAAAGCAATTAGAGATAGGGCTGCTACTTTTGAATTGAAGATACATTTTGTTTTGTTTTGTTTTGACATAAGACATCTGGGGCAAGGAACTCTGCAAATGTTTAGCAGATGTTTCCATCCTAGTCCTTGGAGGCCCAACTGCCCATTTTACTGCCCCACTTATTGCGCTGAGTGTAACTGACTATGTGCAGCAGACAGAAAAGGAGGGTGTTTGAATGTTGAGTGTTGGAGCCTTAGAATTTGCTAGAATAAATAATATATAGTTAAATGGGAACACTTGGTGCCTATGAACTTGTTATTGTACACCAGTAGTACTATTCTTAATGTATATCAGAGTTAAACCTTATAGTTTTCTCTTTTCACTATAACTTACCACAGCACTGTTGGATAGAATTAGATTCTACTGTATACAAGAGCCAGATTTCTTTCTGTTTATAGCTAGATTAATCTAATTTATAAGCATTGATCACATCAGTGGTAGCCAACATGGTGTTTTCTGAATGCTTTGGAATACAACTGCCATAATCCCTGATCATTGACCATGCTGGCTGGAGATAGTTGTTGTCCAAACATATAGAGAGCACCATGATGAATACCCTTGCTTCACATTAAGAAAATACTAATAGAGCTGTTTTCTCATTTTGTGCTCTTAGATTCCCCCCCCCCTTGCATTAATGAACACATTTTAACTGCATATTTAAGGGCTTATCTTTTTCATCTCACATTAAATTTTAACTTGAATATACTAGATTTGTAGATCTGTGGAGTTTAGTTAACAGGGAAGCAAGTAAATTAAAAGCTCCCACTTCTAAACAGGTCAGTTTAGAAAAAGAACAATTAGATAAATTTTGGAGAGGTTTTTAAAAAATCGAATCCTTTTTCTCAGAATAAGAGTGTAAGGTTTACTGTTACTGGAGGATCAAAATGTATCATGATGCTGTTCATGCTAAACTAGTTTGGCCCTTCAGATATGTTTTAAAACTAAAGGCATGTACAGTGGTACCTTGGTTCACGAACTTAATCCGTTCTGAAAGTCTGTTCTTAAACCAAAGCGTTCTTAAACCAAGGCGTGCTTTCCCATAGCAGCAGGGGACTCAATTTACAAATGGAACACACTCAACAGGAAGCGAAACAAGTTCTGCTTCCAAGGCAAAGTTCACAAACCAAAACACCTACTTCCAGGCTTGCAGCATTCTTAATGCAAGTTGTTCATAAATTAAGCTGTCCTTAAACCAAGCTACCACTGTATAAGGCAAAAGTGCATATTTCAAATACAGTTTCTGCTTAACTAAGATGGTGGAATGTTAATAGTTACAAAATTACACCAACCCACATTCCTGAGACTAACTCGGATAAACATTTGATTACAGTGGTACCTCGGGTTACATATGCTTCAGGTTACAGAAATAGTACCTCGGGTTAAGCACTGTGCTTCAGGATGAGAACAGAAATCGCGCTGCGGTGGCACGGCAGCAGCGGAAGGCCCCGTTAGCTAAAGTGGCGGTTCAGGTTAAGAACAGTTTCAGGTTAAGAACGGATGTCCAGAACAAATTAAGTACATAACCAGAGGTACCACTGTATTAAACTAAAGATATGTTTATAGCACATTGCATATATTAGTAGATGCCACACAAGTCATCTAATTTAAACCTTCAACATTGAGACCACCCCTGGTATCCAAATGCTGGAACCCTCCTCCAAAGGAGGAGACTTTCTGTTTTCTAGCTAGTTATCCTTGTGTGTGTAGTCCTTGTTTATGTCTAATACAATACACTGCCTTTGTTGAATTTAATTTTATGTTTTTCACTGAGCACAAGATTATCAAGTTGTGTGTGTGTACTTAGATGATTTGGGGGAGGGGGTGTCAGTGTTAAGACATGCAATGTTGAGCAAATATGGTACATCTCTCAAGTAAAAGGCAAAGGGACCCCTGACCATTAGGTCCAGTCATGGCCGACACTGGGGTTGCGGTGCTTATCTCGCTTTATTGGCCGAGGGAGGCGGCATACAGCTTTCAGGTCATGTGGCCAGCATGACTAAGCCGCTTCTGGCGAACCAGAGCAGCGCATGGAAACGCTGTTTACCTTCCTGCTGGAGCGGTAACTATTTATCTACTTGCACTTTGACGTGCTTTCAAACTGCTAGGTTGGCAGGAGCTGGGACAGAGCAACGGGAGCTCACCCCATCACGAGGCTTCGAACTGCCAACCTTCTGATCAGCAAGCCCTAGGCTCTGTGGTTTAACCCACAGCGCCACCTGCATCCCTACATCTCTCAAGTACTTTTTAACTATTTGCCATAGCTGTGGCAGTACAAGATGCCCAAAAGAATTGTTTCCCCAAGGGTTGTAGTTGGCTTTTGCAACATACCTAGTCAGCATTTCCCAATTGTTGAAATGTAGACAAAGTTTTTTCAAGTAACATTTCATGAGAAAGCTGAACAATAGCAGCTTGAGGTGGTACTGTCCAGAACCATATTCACCACTTCATCTGCTGTTTGAATAAACTTGATCAGGGGCCTTTGATACAGTGATAATTTAGTTCTCTCTACCCCAACCAATGTACTGAACAAATGGTTGCCTATATGACCTGTTATACTTAAAGTTGGTTGAGATTTCTGTGTTCATTATTTTTTCTGGGCATATATGTAGTTGGTCTTTGTAGATTTTACCAGAGCCTGAAATAAATGCTTTGATTTCTTTTATCAATCATTGACAATTCTACCCAGAGGCAAATTGCAATCATGCTGTTATTCACTATGGCAGAGGAATCTCACCCTGTGCATGCTATGAGGCATTCTGGTTCATAAGAAGAGCCTCCTGCAGGGCCTGGCCAGTGGCCCATTCCACACAGCCTCCTTAGCTTTCACAGTGTCCAGCCAGATGTCCCCATGGGAGACCCTAAGAGCAGGATCCGTGCACAAGGGTACTTTCTCCCTCCCTGTGGCTTCCAGCAACTGGGATTCATCCTATGCCCTTTTAAAATGTGGGGTTTGGGGGGGGGTGTTATTGGGCTGTTGTTTTTATTTTGATCATATACTGTAGTGGTTTTATATTCTGATTTTGTTCTGTAAACCACCCTGAGACCTCCAGGTATAAGGCGGTATATAAATTCAGTTGTTAATCATCATCATCATCATCATCATAGTCACATACACCTTAATCCAGGGTTAAATCCATCCCTCCTACACGCCACTGATCAGCAGCTGTTAACCTTAAGGTAGACATTTAAAAAAAATAAATTAAGAGATCATACTAAATTTGTGAGATGTGTTTTGTTTTAGTTTTCCTTCAAACACAAGTAGCCTATTTTGAGAAGAGTTTAACTTCAGTGTTTTATTAAGAGAGCCTTCCTTTTTAACTGATGTCCTACACCACTTAACATAACATCACTGTTCTTGCATAGTTCATTATTTCTATAGTACAAAGTGCATTTCAGTTATGAAATTCATTTACACTTGCCATAACCCTGTAAAGTAAATTAACCAGAAAATAATTATTTGTGCAAGGCTGGAAGTACAGGACTTAGAAAATAGATTTCCATGCTCTGTATTAAGTGTAGTTAAGATTATTCTTCCTAACAAATCGTATATGTTATTATTTTAAATTGTATATCGTATATTTTCACAACCAAACTAAATAACATTGCTGTCACATGTGATCAGTGTTATCATAGTAAATCAATACCAAACAGTGTTCCCATATGAACCTTCCTGATAGTTAAGATATGCAATAGAATCCTCTTTTCCAGGAGCCCTTCATAAATGAGTCAGGATGAGGCCTCACTTCACTAAGCAAGTGAAGGAGGCATCTACACTAGCATCACTTAGTTCAGAACTACTATATTCACCTGGGCAATTAATTAATATTTTTTAATTGCTTTGTAATAGATTTAGCTGCTTTATTGGTTTTGTCAGCTTTTCATGTCTTGGATTATTTATTAATGTATTAATAGTTTTTAGGTTTATGTTTTTATGCATTTCATAGTGGTGAGCTTTGGGAACTTTAAAATCAAAAGTGATTTTATTATTCATTAAACTGCCTATAATTTTAAGGTAGTAAACTGAAGTTATGTAATCCTTGCATGCCTCTGTTTCTTAAAATGCAAACAATACTAGATAGTACTATAGGGTGAGCTTGTATAAATGTTATGTAATTGTTGTGGTTGTTGGACAAATAAGCATGGGAGATGATTGTACTATTACTGTCAACTATACCCCCTTATTTCTAATTCATATTGAATCTAAACTATTGTGACTTTATAAAACAGAGAGGATGGTGAACTCGAAGATGGCGAAATAGATGATGCTGGATTTGAAGAGGATAAGGAAGAACAAGATGCAAAGGTTGAAGATAAACAGAAAAATGAAAAAGCCCATAGAAAATCCCGCAAGAAACGCAAAAAAGAAAAGGATAAGAAAAAGTCAAAAAGGAGAAGACGAGATAAACACAAGGTTAGAACTGTTAGTCAATATTCTTTGCAACTCTAGTAATTATTTTTCATTTACTCAAAGTAGTGTTAAAAAAAGTTTACAAATATTGTTTATTTATTAAATTTGTATTCTGTTTGCCATGTCTAGAGTGGTAAACATCAGAAATATTTACACAGTACAATTTAAATAGAATAAAAACATATTTAAAACACTAAAACAATTTAAGAAAATTTAAAAACAATCACATAGCATCACAGTTTTTAATTTCACAGTTGCCGTGACCATTATCTACAGTCATCAAATACCTGGGTAAACAAAAATATTTTAAAGTTTCTCCTGAAAGTCAATAATGAGGGAGAAAGGCACACCTCACCAGGGAGGGCACTCTGCAAATGGGAACCACCACCAATAAGGCCCTGTAATAAGTGAGGACCAACTGGATATGTACAGATATAATGTGCCCAAGAGTATTGGCCTACTAAATCATTATTTGCTGTGTCCAACATTCCTCACACCACATGTGTACTGAGAAGTGTACCAAATAATGCATTGCAATGTTTGCCTGTGCTTGAGGCTCATGAGCTGCTCTAGTGCATGCAGCTAAAGTACAAGCTACCTTAATTATTATTGGTAATAAATTAGCCCTCATGGGGATTTGAATTGTATGCCACTTCCCCACAATCTGCTTCTCTTCCAATTGACTTTCCTGTAGCATTTTAAATACAATATATATAGTTCATATGCCTGCATTATACAAATGAAATTATTCTTGTTTTTCAGCATAATTCCCCCTCTAGCAATGACAGTTCTGACTATAGCATTGATTCTGATGCCGAACGAACAGAAAGATCCCATAAGAAAGGATCTGGTTTCTACAGAGATTATGAGTCTTCATTCATTCAGGTACAGCTTTCAAAATGTTCATTCCATCCAAAGTTATACCGCATTTTTCGCCCTATAGGACGCACCGTCCCATAAGGCGCACCTAGTTTTTTTGGGGGGGAATAAAGGGGGAAAAATTTATTTCCCCCCCAGGTGCGGGGCTGGGGCGGGGGAAGCCTGAGCTTCCCCCGACTCCAGCCCCCAGAACAGGCAACTCTCCGCAAGCCGTGGGAGCCCGGCGCCAGGCTCCCACGGCTTGTGGAGATCTGCGCGATGCCTGGAGAGCGAGAGGGGTTGGTGCGCACCAACCCCTCTCGCTCTCCAGGCTTCAGCGAATGCCTGCATTCTCCCCATAGGACACACACACATTTCCCCTTCATTTTTGGAGGGGAAAAATGTGTCCTATGGGGCGAAAAATACGGTATATCATGCTGATTTCCTGACTTGTTACCAGTTTTTGGTGATATGGGGGCAACAGAGGGCAACAGTTTCCCTGGTTACTTGTTAGTAAAGTTTCCAGTCAGAATGAAGCAATTTTTATCCTCCCTCTTTTCTGGCAGAGTATGAAAGCCTTCCATTTACTTCTCAATAGCTTCAAAAGTAATTTGTGTCAATTTGAGTTTTACTGGGGCCATGAGTTTCTTTTTTGCCTCTGCCATATTTATTCAAAGAAATGGAACCAGAGATTATTAAAGTAGCATATGTCTTTGCCTTGACTGCCATTGAGATTTTCATTGTAGGAGTTTTGTGCAGTGTTTCAGTATTCTTCAAAGGATCAGTAACAGACATTCCTTACAGGGGAGTAGTATCACTTTGTTCTCTGTTACAAAAGCTTCCTCTAGATTCATATGGAAAGAGGACATATGAGTGACTCTGTTGAAGTAAATCTCTCCCAGAAGTAAAAATGATCTCGCCCTATGAGGGCTCTTGCTTTCCATCCAAAACCTCCTTCCATTACAGTCATACCTCAGTTTGCGAACGCTGCGGGTTGCGCGTTTCTGGGTTGTGGACCGTGCCGAACCCGGAAGTACCGGAACAGGTTACTTCCGGGTTTTGGCGCATGCACAGAAGCTCAAAATGATGTCGTGCGCAGACACAGCGCTGCGGGTTGCAAACGCTGCAAGTTGCAATCGTGCCTCCTGCGTGGATCATGTTCGCAACCTGAGGTATGACTGTATTTCAATAAAACAGGACTTCGTTGGATTTTTCTTGGCTTCATGTCTTCCCGAATGAAGGAGCATATGGTTTCTCTTGACTAGTCTAACAGTTGCTCTGGGAGAAGATAAATGTTCATTCAGAACCGCAAACAATTTTATTACTGCTTGACTTATAAAATCAGTAGTAATTTCATACTATCTGGAGTTTAAAGTAGCACAGCCTTATATGGATATTTATTTATTTATTTATTTATTTGATTTTTTATTATTACAAAGCATTAAAACAATCAACGCATTCCAAAGATCATGTTGAGAGAGACAATACATAAGTGAACTGTGCATCCTTATTCCACACTTACAAAATAATATATCAAAAATTATTAAAATTAAAGGTGCTGGCAGAATGAAGCTTAACTTCAAAACATCATTTATATCACCTGAAATGTTTTTGATATGACTTGCAACCAATTCAAATTGAAAATTCATAAGGTGAAACCCAGAAAAAGGAGATAAATATTCCAGACATAGAGCAGGGAACCAACTCCTATCAGTCCCAGCCAGCCTGGGGAGTGGTGATCAAAGATGGTAGGGTTTTAGTTTACCATATCTGTAGGGCCACAGGTTCCTCAACCCTGCAAAATTTACTACTAGCATAGTGTTACTAATCATAAATTTATTCACAATGCTGGAAGTCATGAAATTGGATGTTCTACATCTAGAAAAGGGGTGGAACTGGCATAAGATTTGCTTCACTCTTACTGCCAGAAAATGGGTTGCAATATCTTCATGCTACAGAAAATAAGTAAGAATTTTTTCACTTGAATCTAGTAGTTCTCATTGGAGAAAGAATTAATGCTTACTGTATTACATGCTTATGTTTCAGCATGTTTTCATAAATTTCTCTGCAAGCAATGAGGACAGTTGATCTTGCAAAAAACCCATTCCTTTGTGCTCCAATTGCTCTACTAAACTTGAATACTAAAAATGTTAATTTGCATAATTTTGACTTATTGCAGAATTTCACTATTGCGGGGAGCTGAGTTTGTGTTGACTTGGCACACACTTAATTGTGTGTGTCCTTTTTTGGCAGGGTAGTCTTGATTCTGCCCATGCATCTGTGGTGTTTGTTACAACTTGAACTCTAAAGCATGAGAAAATGATGTCCTTAGAATGGTTATTTATTTATTTATTATTGCTCATTGCAACAGAATTGTCAGGAAGAATGATACAAATAACTTGTTCAATCAAGTCATGTGTCTTTTGCCACAAAATGAACTATTTATAGAATAACACCTGTAAAAAGAGTGTGTGAGCTGCTGCGGGGGAGGAGAAGCTGTTAATTCTGCTTCTCCTTTCACCCATCTCCAGTATTTGCATATACACACTTGGCTTAGCAAATTGGTAGTGCCAAAGTCTCTGCTAAAAACAGTTATTTCTACTTTGGCCACTCTTGTGTGAAATACAGACAGATTTGGAAGAAATAGAAACTTAGTGAACCATTTATATTATCCACCCACTTCACCAGGGAGTCTTTCAGGATCAGTATTTGTTGCTCTCCCTGGAACAATGGTTTGAGGGGACAGAAAGCTCTACTACAGTTTGGAGACACAGCACCCATAGCCAAGTGAACAGATCTGTGTTCATCCCAACAACTCTCCATCTATCTATGGATAATCAAGCACTATAAGCATCTTTGCATGTTTTCAATTTGCAACTGCAATACACATTTAATGAGTTGCAAATAACAACCCTAATTCAGGATAGAAAAGTACAACACATGAACACCAATAAAATGTTATGTTTTCTTTGTAGAGAAAATAGTGAGAGGTCATATCCTAATGGTTTTCTAATTATCATTCTCTTTTGTCCAGCATGGGCATATTTCAGGAAAATATACCCCTTCACAGAAGTCACAGCATACTAAAAAATCAAAAAACAAAGATTATGATAACTACAGTGATGATTTTGTCTACAATGAGGATGAAAAAGAGGATTTTGCTGACCAATTAAAACAGTATAGACAAGCTAAAGAAACTTCAAATGCTGATTTAGATGCTCCAATTTCAAAAGAATCTATGAAAAAGCAAGGAATGAAAGGGATTCAGAAAGGTAAGGCATTGGTCTAATGCTAGCTTAGTTTGTGTTAGAAACCCACCTTTTCCTAATTACAGCATTTACAGTGAAATTGTGTTCAGAACAAGCATTTTCCATTGAATGGCCTGGAATGAAACTTTTTGGGGCCAAGTTGCAAATCACTGTTTTGGAAGCTAGAGTTAAAATGCTATTTTATAATTTTAGAAATGACCTTTAAAAACACTATAGTTCTGACCTGGCATGTATTCCTTACGTGACCTCTTCACTCTGCAGAAAAGTACAGGTGGTATGTATGTACATTCTTATTTCAGGTCAGAATCTTTATGCTGAAATGTGTTGGATGTTTTTGTTTTTAGGTGCTACACAGACAAGCAATAGTTACGGTATTGGCCGAGGTCGTGGCATGCAGAAGAAATTGAAACGCAAAGACCGTGGAAGGGGAAGGGGGATAAATAAAGGTCCTGAAGAGGTAAGTGGAATGGAAGTGGGTTGTTACGTTGAAACTTGGGATTTCTGTTTAGTTTGCTGTGGATAATTCAGAATACCGTATTTACTTGAATCTAATGCTCTCCTTTTTTGGCTAAATTACGTTGCAAAAATTAAGGTGCGCATTAGATTCAATGGCACATTTACATTCGCCAGCAAATACTTTTTTTGTTTTCAAGGTTTTGAAAACTGAGGTGTGCATTAGATTTAATGGTGCATTAGACTTGAATAAATACAGTATTTAATTTAGAATAAGCAGCCCTTCAGTTATTATTACTCTGCGTCATAGCTGTCAACTTTCCCCTTGTCTTGTGAGGAATCCTATTCGGAATAAGGGAATTTCCCTTTAAAAAAGGAAAACGTTGACAGCTATGCTCTGCATCATGTAGCTTCAGTATTGCAGCCTAAGGACACATGCACTATGAAATGAACTTCTGGTAATGCTAAGCTGGAGGAAGGAGAAGTAACAATTTTGCAATTTGGAAAAATAATGTGACTAAGATAAATATTAGTAGTTGGCAGGTAGCAACATTGGCAAAATTAAAATGATACAGAGAACTAGGGCTAGTGAAGTCAGTAATAGTAAAATGTGTACGGCTTGGGGAAAGAGTGAATGAATTGTCAGTCCCATCACCTTCCATCACCACCACTAAAGACAAAGAATGACATGTTCTTCACAGCTTTGTTTCCTCATAAGCAAAACGTCTATGCCTGACACTATGCCTAGCATTTACCATAACTAGAATGTCAGTAGCCATACCTGTTTGTCTGGCAATGCTTTTTGAGAAGCTTGACTAAATCATTTTAGTTTATCGTTTTGAGTACTGTAACTTTGGATCTTCAGTGACACTTTAGGTAACGATGCATTAAAACAGGATGCTTTTTTTTTACAGGAAATAAAGCCTGTTAAGAAATGGCCAACTATGAGTCAGGCATTCATAAATCAGCATACTGTGGAACACAAAGGAAAACAAATCTGTAAATATTTCCTAGAGGCACGATGCATTAAGGTGAATATACAATCGTACTCTTTCTAGAAAGGGTAGGGGGAATGTGTGGGTTTTATTCCAGTTTGCTCAACACATTTATCAGCCCCCACCCCAACTGTTAAGTATTTTTAAAGTACTAAAAATATATTTAAATTTAAAATATGGATGTATTTTGTTCAGTCATTTTATTTCTTGTGCAGGCTTTTATATTTAATGTTGAAAGTGTGTAATATTTAAATAGCAGCCATGATCTCCTTTTATTGAAATAGAAAAGCTTGATTGTACAGTATATAGTATATCTTCTAGTGAGCTATGTAAATTATTGCACAGAGTTGCATCACTGTGAACAGAGCAGCTTTCTACCAGTCAGTCGTATGAGAAAATTCAAAAACTATGAATGCATTCTGGCAGGCAAGTGTGATAGGGCTTTTCCAGTGGTGTCACTTGTTTTTAGAAATGACCTCCCCAAGAACTGCATTCGGCTCCCTCCTTGATTTCTTTCAAAGAAACCCTAAATATTTTTCTTTTCCAATCAGCTTTTGGTTAATTTAGGGTGGCTAGCATGCTGTGCTGGGAGTGAGAGGTCTAGCCGTGCTATTTTCATCTGCTGCTTGTTTTTGTTTGTTTTTTAATTTAAGATCAATATTTTATTGATCTTAATTGTTTAGGTAGCTGTGTTGTTTTATTATTTTGCTTTGGTTTTCTACTGTAAGCCCCTTGGGGAAAGGTCTATGGTCCTGAAAAGTATTATAGAAATGACTGAAATAAATACAATTCTGAACAACTGCCATCTGTTTAGTGTCAGTGCAGGAATAGTTTCATGTTCTGCTTTTTTAATGATTGGTTTGCCTTACAAACAACTTCCTCCAACACCACTGGGGGGGGGGGGAAGCAGCGAACTATGTTTGATCAAACTTTCTCATCCTACCATTGAAAATTCAACTTGAAATACAATAATTCCACATTTGGAGCTAATAACCTCTTTTATGTATACAGGGAGACCAGTGTAAATTTGATCATGATGCAGAAATAGAGAAGAAAAAGGAAATCTGCAAGTTTTATATACAGGGTTATTGTTCCAAAGGAGAGAACTGCATTTACATGCATAATATCCTTTTACAAATAATATTCTAAAGATATTTTGTTTAAGTGTGTGTGTGTGTGTGTGTGTGTGTGTGTGTGTCTACATATACATATGAATATGACCTCAAATATATAATGTAAATGATATTTTCAAAGTGATAAATGATGGGAGTTCATAGTCTTTGATATGTCACAATAAACGTTATACTTAATATATTGTTTATACTTTGTTGTTAAAACATCAAAAATGCAGTGCTTACAATTAAAGAGCAGGAGTCCAAAATTTTGACTCTGCTTACAAGTCATGCCTATTATTTGTGATGCCCACTAATTTTTCCCTTTCCTTACTCCTGTGCTATGTTCAAAAGCCACACAGGATGGGAGAGAAACTATTTCTCCTTTCCTCTCTGGAGGAGTGGAGGATCTAGGGAGAAAGGAGAGATTATTTGTCTTCTACAAGTTGGACTTTTGCAGAAAGCTTCAGCAGCAACCTGCTGCCACTTACACCACCTCCTACAAAAGCCTAATAGAAAGGGAAAGAGGCTACTCCATTTTTTCTCAACAAAATGGGCAAGAAAGAAGAGGGTCAATTCCCTCTTCCTGTTGGGTTTTTGCTGGAAGCAGCAATGAGGTACTGCCAGAGCTGTTTGCAAAAGCCTAACTTCATGAGAGAAGCTACATCTCTTTACCCCCATGGAGGACTGGAGAGAAAGGACAAGCAGCAATTTTGCCAAATGGGAAAGAGGTGTTTTCTGCTGGTAAGCAGGTGAGTAAATTTACAGAAGGCAGAAAATCTGAATCCAAAAATTAGCTGAGCATGATCCATCCTGTTCCATTAACAGTCATGAGGCGTTCCCTTTAGGGAGCCCAATAAGCCCACTCTCAAAGTGTTATACTTGTTAGAATCCTTAATACAGGCTCACATGAGTTCCCTTGCAAGTTCTATCATACAGGAGCTAAGTGCTACCACGGCGACAAGTGCAAGTTTTCTCATGATCCACTAACTAAAGAGTCGAAAGAACTCCTTGATAAGGTGAGTAATGCTCCTTTGTATCAACAGAATACCCCACATCATACTTTAATATGAAACTGATATTTCAAAAAAGCTGTTTTTTCAAAACTAAGAAAAGTCTGTGGTGACCCAGTTTCAAATTGATTTTCCAAGGAGTCCAGTCACGTTTATCGATATTTCAGTTGCACATGATGTACAGTGTCATCTGTCAACGTATATTTTCATGTAGAAAAAGCTATTCTAGGCTTCATAGATTTCACCAGCATCTCATGATGAAGACAAACATCATATAAAAAGGGAGCTTACAGCAAGATCCTTAGCTGAAGGGTGAACCTGGCGCCCCTCAGCTTTGCAAGGCTTGCACATCACAAATGTGCATGCCATTAAACTAAATGCCATCTTAGCATTTGATCTTGCCCCTCCTTTGTTTCACAATCAGTTTATTTTTTATAGCACTGCTTACGCATTTATGCATTACCCATTTGTTTTCACCCTCCGCTTAAAATGGGGAGGGAGGGGATAAATGGCAAAGCTCCAGAAATTTTGGGAGAGGTTTCTTGTTCACTTCATGGGTAGCAGCTAGTTAGCAAAGTGGACAATCAGTTTCTGGCAGGACTGGACTTTTCCCCCTTAGTGGTAGAATCCAAAGAGGAAAGGCATGTTTGGTTGGAGCATTTTTATGTTAGCCCCACTGAAGTAAAAATGTTACATCTGATTTAAACTTTCTGCTTTCTTTTAACCCATTATCACCTTTTCCCTTTAGTTTTCCTCTTCAGGTATTATTCTTTGAATCTCCTAACTGTTCATACTGGTGTAGTGTAGTCTTACAGAAATTTCAAGGTGCACATCACTGCACACTATCCATGAAATCATAGGATCCAAGGGTTCTGGCATGGGCTTGTTGTCTATTGACAGTGTTAGAAAAGATTCTCCCCAAAGTCAACATTTAATTTCTTAGTCATGGTCTAATTGAAACTAGCTGAAATAGTTGTTGCTATTGAGGGAGAAACCACCATTCAGTTCAGTTCAGATCAGCGTACCAAAGAGTTGAACATTCATAGCAGTGAGCAGATGTGAAGCCAAAAGTTTGGATGGTGGACTGTACTCTGATTGATCTAAATGTTAGAACATAATGCTCTGAAAACCTGGTTAGGTCTTTATAGGTGGCTTTTTTTAGGAGCTGCACTTCAAAATGGTGTTTGAGAGATTAATTGGGGTATAGTATGTGAGTTATTTTAATCTTGTTTGAATTCCATGGATGCTTTGACTTTTCTATTTCGAAGATTTGTAACCTACCCTGATCCTTCAGGATCAGATCAGATAGAATCCCAGTTAGGGAGTTGTATAGCAGCAACCAGAATATTATGCAACAGAAACTTTTATAACTCCGAGTATAATTTGTGTATGTTTTAGGTACTGAATACTGAAGAGGAGCCACAAAACGATGATGAAAAGGAAGTGGAGGAACTTCGGAAACGAGGCATAGTTCCTCTTCCTAAGCCTCCTCCAGGAGTTGGGCTTTTGCCAACCCCACCAGAGCCGTATTCATTTACTGAGGAAGATGCAGAAAACTTTCAGGATCCCTCTGGTGAATTCAAGAAAATCCCATCTCTCTTTGAGATAGTTGTGAAGCCTACTGTGGATTTAGCCCACAAGATTGGGAAAACGTAGGTATTAGAAGTATAAAAGTTGTGCATGGTTTTAATGAGGCAATAAGGAAGTTCAGGAAAATGATGGCATTATAGTAATCTTACAGGACTGGTTAAAAAGAGAAAGAGAGAGTTACAAGCACAATGACCCTAGAATATAACAGTGGTGGCAGGCATAGTTTGCCACTCTTAGCTGAAGTGGCAAGTAGTTTCAGACAGAAGGCTGCATTACGTTTTTTAGGAGAAAAGAGCTAAAACTGTATTTATAACCTTTCATAGATCTGATTGAAATAACACCTTAGTGAAAAATTTGTGTAATTATTGCCTACCTATTTTGATCTAAAATTTGGCCTATATTTAAAAACTAATTGCATATTGTTGACATCCTTTTCAGAAAAATGAAAACTACTGGTTGTCCAGTCAGTCTCATTTAAAGTATACCATATTTTTCACCCCATAGGACGCACTTTTTCCCCTCCAAAAATGAAGGGGAAATGTGTGTGCGTCCTATGGGGCGAATGCAGGCTTTCGCTGAAGCCTGGAGAGCGAGAGGGGTCGGTGCGCACCGACCCCTCTCTCTCTCCAGGCTTCGCGCAGATCTCCGCAAGCCGTGCGACGGCTTGCGGAGAGTTGCCTGTTCTGGGGGCTGGGGTCGGGGGAAGCTCGGGCTTCCCCCGCCCCAGCCCCGTGCCTGGGGGGGAAAAATAATTTCCCCCCCTTTATTTCCCCCCAAAAAAACTAGGTGCGCCTTATGGGACGGTGCGTTTTATAGGGCGAAAAATACGGTATGTATTAAGGAATGTCTCAAATCTCGCTTGTATTTCATATGTTTACCTTTTATAAGAAGAGCTCCTTATAAGGAGAACAGTTGCTTTTCATCTTTTTATTAGGCACTTAAGTATTTGAAGACTTCAGTCATGCTCCTTGTAATAATCCAAAGTTCACCTGTTTATGGTCTGGTGAAAAAACCAAACGGAATGGTAGTGTTCCCTTCTAAGAGAAAGCAAACTAATTTTGACAAAATAGAGCATGTAGCCATTTTCAGACTCTTGACCACTATGCTCCTCATAACTTGCTTATAGTTTATACTTATATAAAAGTGGTATTGACATAACTTTCTGTCTTGCAGTCCACCAGCATTCTATAACAGCACATCACCGCCAGGACCAGAGTTTGAAGGAAATGATCCACATATGTATAATACAGAATCGAGCCCAGGACATAATGGACCAGCAGGGCTCCCAGGTTCTCCTGGGCATCCTTGCATAGGTCTAGGAGGGCCACAGAGTCCACCTTTGCAGCCAGTTCCTCCGGGTTACCTAGGACCACAGGGTCAAGCCGGTGGACCAATGCATGGACAGCAGGGTGGGCCACCTTTGACGCCACCTGGTTCATCATATGGCTGTGCAGTTGCTCAAGAACATATGGCAAACATGCCCAGAGACAATCATTGCCTACCTGGTCCACCATATCAGCAAATCCCCGGTGAACGGCTGCCAAATACTTGTTACGAGTCCCTTCAGAATCCAGCCAATTTCTATGATAATTACTATTCGCATCAGGCTGTACATAACTTTCAGACAACCAATAACACTGGTGGTAAGTTTTAATGTATAAATCTTATGTCCTTAGTTAGAACTAAAGAATTGTGTCTCATGAGAATGGGAGCTGTATTATAACTCAAAATCACCTAGTCTTGGGCCCTTCTCATTCAAGATTTATAAAAGTATTCCCAAAATACTCATTATGGGGGGGGCATGTGTGTGTAGGAGGGGAGAACACAGACTTTTGAAAGTGCGGTATGCTTCTGTATACTCTGCACACACCCTCTTCTTGAATTCTTGTATGGGGGACTCAGGACACCCTAGATCAGATGTGAAAGATAAATTATGCCTTCCCACCCTCCAGGATGCTTCTAACGTTTCCCCATAAGCAACTACTCAGTGCACAAGTCTCCAGTAGTCTCCATCTCTTCACCTGACAATCTTCCCCCTGGCCTTTCCTAAGTGCTTGAGGTGCCTTCTAGCAGCAGCATCTAAAACAAATAAGCATTCTAGCTATACCTAGATGGACATGTGGTGGCTTGGATGCTACTTCATAGGGAAAGGCCAGCGGACTGGTGCTGCTGCTTGAAGACATGCTGAGCACCACTGACCAACCCTCTTGTTCCTCCCACTCTGGGCTTTCCTGCTCTAGAGCAGATAAGAGCAGTTTGGGATAGAGGTTGATGATGTGGCCACACAGCTCCCAAGGGACACCCCTGCCCCTGACTTCCTCCCAGCTTTGGAACTAGGGAGGTGGCAAGAACACCACACAGCTAGCAGTCCCTGCCCACCTTGCAGCTTAAGCATTGGGAGGAAGGCTTGGTAACTCCATGCTTGCTAGAGGGCATTTGCACACTCAGCTGCGTTGAGGATGGTGAGAGGAACTGATGAAGCCCGTTTGCATGTGAGAAAGTAAACCTATCCACTGCCCCCTAGAATTAAGCCTCTTATATGTACAGCCCCACCCCTTCATGTGCCACCTTGATGGCTTTTATAGAGATCTCATCAAATAGTACTCAACATTTCTTTGTAATTTCTGTTTAACTTATGTTGAGGATAAATACTAATTGTTTGTAATACTGTCAATGTAGATGGTGCTTGGCAAGGAGAATTTGCAGATCAGCAGCCTCACCACATGTCTTCAGATTCACATAACAGTGGCAATGAGTACGAGTCAGACTGTGCTACAGCAGCAGGCCACAGTTCAGCTATTAATGTACCAGATTTTCTTCCTGCAATGCAGAAAGCCCTTTTTGTAAGGCTTAGTCAAAAACAACAAGACGATGGAGAGCAAATGAGCAATCAGTGTCAGAGATCACTGAGTAGAGAAGAAGGTATTGTCACATTCTGCACTTTTAAAATAACATGTTGTAACATAGTTGTGTGCATTTGCTGTTTCCAAATGTGAAGAGTTTAGTTTACTTCCTACTGGTGTTTATTTTCCTTGCAACTTTTACTGAAGTTACTTTCACACATTGAAGAATCCAGTTTGATCCAAGGAGAGGTGCAGAGGGTGGCAACATGAGAATGGGCCTTTTCTGCATTGGCTTTTCTGCAGTTTATGGAAAGCTTTCCCCAGAGAGGCTTTCCTGGTGCCTTCATTGCATATCTTTAGGTACCAGGCAAAAATGTTTCTCTTTAAACAGGCTTTTGGCTAATTAACATTCTATATCCCTTTAAAGGTTTTTGTGGGAGGAGGGTTATTGCTTTGTTTTTGTTCTTGTTTTTATTATGTATTTTGTGTTCTCATTTTGCATTTTTATGTTGTGAACCTATGATCTTCAGATGAAGGGCAATATACATATTTAATAAATAAAATAAATATCACTGACATAAGCTAAGAGATGGCAACAGACTTATGGTTAAATAATTTTCCCCACTCACTTACTAACATATTTGCCATCCTAATAGAAATTAGAATTCCTTTCTTTTACATAATCTGGTTTTATTAAAAAGAATTCCCAACACTATTTGGGAAATTCTGTTTTGTTTATCTTAGGATAGAAAATATATACTATGGCTACTGAAATTTGTATGGTGTCTTGTCTTTTTCTAGATGATAATGTAAACTGGTACTCCAGTAGTGAAGAGGAAGAAGGAAGCAGTGTTAAATCAATATTAAAGACCTTAAAGAAACAAAGTGAGACATTAAGGAAACAGCAGCAGCAGGCAGCAGACCAACAGCTTCGTGTTATGCCTACTGACCCAAGACTTGCTAAAGAGCGAGGTCAAGGAAGCCAAGCTGTTGATCCCAGGCTAAGATCAGCTTCAAGATCAAATGCTAGAAAACCATCAGAGTCAGGAACCTTGGACCCAAGACTTGCACGAGATCCTAGAATTTTAAAGAGCAGCGAAAGCAGTCATGCTAGTTCATCTGCTAGTGGAGCAAACCCTGGTGTCAAGACGGTGCAAAAAGGATTAGAGGAGGAAGAAGAGGATGGAGAACGGGAGCTGAGAGAGAGAGCTTTCTTAATACCATTGGAACCTCTGCCTGGAGTAACACTACGGGATCCAAGATCTCAGCTTAGGCAATTCAGCCATATTAAAATGGACATTGTTCTGAGCAAACCCAACTTTGCTAAGCATATTGTATGGGCTCCTGAAGACTTACTCCCAGTACCTTTGCCGAAACCAGACCCAGTATCTTCAATCAACTTACCCCTTCCTCCACTTATAGCTGACCAACGATTTAATCAATTACGGAATATCAAAAGTGATCCCATCCCAAGTACAATACCATCTGACCCGAGATTAGCAGCAAAAGCAAAAAATAGTACACATTTAGTAAACAGAAGTGTCTCTTTGGACCACTCTACAGATTCTCATCCTGGTAGCACAAGCAAATTGGGAGACCCTCGCTTGCAGAAAACAATTGATCCCAGGCTCCACAGACCATCCAGTACAGACTCTCACCATACAGTAGTGAAGGACTTTTTGCCTCCAAAGACTGACCCCAGGTTAGCCAAATCCAGCACTGGTACATCACAGTCCTCAGAAGCTGCAGCCTTTCATTCTGATTCGGATGCGTTACCCCCATATGCACCTAAGCTATCATCTGCCACTGCTAAACTGGGCACCCCTAGCTCGTTATTAAGTGGCATTAGCTTGTATGATCCAAGAAATCACACTCCATCAGACCCCTCTCCAGTTAATTCAGGGGAGAATGGAGAGAACCTGAAGAAGGGTATTTTGAAAAATGCTGGCCAAAATGAAGCTACGCTCTCAGAAGAACAGTTGCCTCAAAAAACATCCCTGCACATAGAAAAATGCCTGGAAACATCTGGAGAAGCCATTCCAGATAAAGTGGGCAGTAAATCTCAGGCTAAACACTCCAGTGCTGCTCCAGCAGTACACAACCTTCCCATCCAGGCTTTGTCAGGGTTAATCAGACCACAGTACAGTGATCAGAGGCCTGTAAGGCAGCCTGGGCAAATCAGTCAAACGTCAGAGAGTGATCCAAATGGGGAATCCGATGACAAATCACTGAAAGATGTTTTCAAGACTTTTGACCCAACGGCTTCACCTTTTTGTTAGCTGTGTGTTTATGAAGACTTTTTACCATTGTGAATAATGCAGGTTTCTGCGGTTTTGTAACTGATTTACCTCTATGCTTTATTTATTTTTAAATTATAACCAGAAACACATTTGGGCTGCTATTTTCAGAACCACATGCCGTAACACAGTATGCTATAGTGTTTGCCAAGTTGGTATTTTCTATATAATTTTCACATTTCAGGGAGACTAATCATTGATCTGTTTTTTAAAAATAACAATAGGTATATCATGTTAGATCTGAAATAAGCACTTTCATTGTAAATAATCATTAAGGATTCAATTTGAAGACTTGTATATGTGTAATGTGTCTTTTCAAAATCAACATTTAGAGAATGTTTGCCACTTTTGTAAGATTGTATAGGTTCAAGCAATATAATGTACATTACTGTGAGAGACACTATTTAAAATGACAATTATCTGATCTATCAAGTCCAACTTGCTAAGTAAAATTCAAAAAGAATTGATCTTTTCTGAGCGTTGACACAGCATCATTTTTTATTCATGAATTGATACTCATAGCCTAAAAGATACTGTATTACATATTGAGGAACTGAAGCATTTTTAAAGTATTTTATTCTATGCTGTATATAGAAGAAATTGCAAAGGACACAGCTAAAACATTTCTAAGTAGAAAATTCATAAGTTGTATGTGTAAAAAATGTATTTTCTTTTTTCATGTATACATTATTCTCATTTAGTGCTGGCACATTGTGGTGTTCATGTATTCAATGTATTTTTGTATTCAACTGCTTAATTTGTATTGCTTTTTTGTATTGATATGTAATGACAGTAACATATACTCATGTGTCTGACATTTTTAACAAATTAAAAAAGAGTGAAAATCTCTTGACTTTTCATGGACTGCTAAAAGGCTGGGAAATCTGCATTGTAGATTTTATCTACTTTCTCCCCCTTCCCTCCTAAGGTGTATATACTTGTTGGACTGCCTGGTCATTTCCTCCTACCCACAATAACCCTGTGTGATACGTTAGCCTGAGATATAGCGAGAGTCATGGCCAAGCAGCGGTTTGAACCCATGTCTCCCAACTTTGGTATTCTTTCTACTACCTGACATTGGGGGGGGGGTGAATGGTAGTGAAGTTGAAGCCACCTGAAACAAACAAGATAGGCATATTGAAAGGCAAGGGCAGAGTTGCAACTTTGAGGATAGGCAACAGCTAAGCATGTGAATAATTGTGACCATAGCGGCGATTACATTTGTGCACTGAACTTGGGCACTACGTCCACAGCAACTATAATGGGCAGACTAAATTATTCTGAGTGTGATGTCTCTTTCCACAAGTTGGAGCATAACCAATGTCAATAACCTGCTTCTGGCCAGAAACAGCAAACATTTAGATTTAGAGCAGTTCTGACTAAGGAGCTGATAGTTCTTGGGTCATGGATGTGAATGTGGGTTCGGTCCACGACCCCTTTTTGCGAAGTCCCAGTTCATCTCTCTCTGAATTTAAAGCTTCCTTGGCCCTGTGCCACCACAGACTTTTCCTCCACCTGCTGCAAAATGCAGCTACATTGGCTTCTTCTGAATCAGGGGCCGGTTGACGCAAACCCTGCAGAAAAGCGAAGCAAGGAAAGAGTAATGCTGTTTGAAAGTGAAACTAATACATTCAGGAAACACGGGCTTTAGAATTATGCTAAGCAGATGCAAGCAAAACAATTCACAATCTCGGGGTGGTTGACAAGAGATGAGTGAGAAAATGCTCACTTTCCTGAGTATGTCACATCCCAAGATCAAAACACTTGGTTCAGTGCGATGTGAAAAGCCAAAGCAAACCTTGAGTTCACACACTCTTCACTCCTCTCTCATCTGGCACAGCTGTGAAGGGTCCAGAAGCTTCCACTTTTGCTTAACCACAAGCTAGTTGCATTGCCACAACTGTCAAAATGTGGTTAATTTGAATTGGTGGCTAAAGCCAACTTGAAACCATGGGTTCATATAAACCAGTTTAAAATGACTGGCCCAAGGGTGAATGTAGTCCATGTGAACTGAAAAGGTCTAGACTCTAGCTACTCCTGCCTTGAAGCAACAAAGTGCAGTGAGGTAAGACGAGGGAAGAGTTTCGCTCCCCTCTCCCACATAGTCTTTTTAATGTAAGGACCCCCAAACCCCTGCTTTGTATGTAAATAAAAGGTTACTTACTTTGACGCAAGCCACTTCTGCAGCCTTTAACATCTGAAGAGCCACCTGGATTAGGTTCTGTGCATTGCTCACAAGGTGCTCGGCAGATGACCTGCTTTTACCTGTTGATGCGTTTACCCTTGGAAGTACAGAGAGAAAGCATTATGCAGTGCACCTAAGGTGTGACATGGGGCTTCTATGGCTGGAGGAAGAGGTGTTGAGCCCTAGCCCTACTCATGCATTGTTTTCCTGATCTAAACCCTCTAGGGATATTTTTGGGGTGTTCTATTGATTACTCTTTTATTTATGTAATGTTGTAATTCTACCCCAATAAGGCTAGTTCATATCATCCATTGCCAACCATCCCAGTAAACATAAGGATCAAGGGTGATTTAAAAAAACAAAACTTTTAAATCGACTAAAGAAAGATGATTCACCTTTCCTGGGTACCAGTGCTGAAAAGCCAGCACTGAAGTGCTCAACCAATCCAGTTTACAAGAACAAACTCACAGTAAGTATGTTCACTGCTGCAACTCCCTCCCTCATCCACTAGAATGGGGCTTGGAACCATTTGCACTCCAGTCCAGACCATCATCATCCCAACTCCCCAGGGGGCAGGCAGCTAATGAGATCTGGAGGCTATGAATATCTGGAGGGTCACAGGTTCCTCAGCCCTACACAGAGACATGCAATAAATCTCTCCCCTAGCAATAAATTGTGCCAGGGATTAAATGCAAAGCATACTATCCTATGGAAAGAATCAGAGCATGTTCCGAAAGAGCCAGTTACCTGGAAACGATGCTAAGCTGGTAGCTAATGGTCTTGGTTTGCTCCATGGCATACAGCAGTTCGGTCGCACATCTTTCGTCTAGACAGTTCTTTGCAATGATGCCGGCAAACTTTACCAGGGCTTCCCCTCCAGAAATGATCTGTGTGGCGCAGGAAATGAGTTGTTCCTTGGTCTAAATGGGAAGCAGTTCCAAAAGAAAACCCCACAACACAAAATCAGCCCTGATATCCACTAATACATTCATACTCTACTCTTTATCCAAAGAACTCAGAACAGGCCTTAAGAGTCAGTGTCTATAACCTGCAGTTTGAGGAATAATATTTTTTAAAGCTCCCTGCATCTGGAAACAGGAGCAAGGAACCCTTGGTCCTCCGGATGTTGCTAAACTACAACTCCCATTGGCTCTAGCAAGCATGGCCAATGTCTCGGGCTGGTGGGAGTTGTAGTTCAGCAAAATCTGGATGCTCCAAACCTCCCCACACCACATCTAGAAAGGCAGCAGATTAAGGAGAAAGGCTAGGTTGGAGCAGTCTTCCCGATAGAATAGTTTTCTATGTGGAGCGAAATGTGGACTATTAAAACATTTCAGCTGAGGTTAAGGACAGAGTGACAAGGCAGAGTGACCAGGTACAAGCATCTGAAAAGCATAACCAGCCAGAAGACAGCAAAGGAAAGCAAAACAAAAGGCACAGATGAGCACCCTGAAAGCCAGCTTGGCATATTTCTTGAATAGGTGAAGTTTCTCCAGGAGTTTGCACAGCAGAATAACAAAGGCAGCACTGTAGAGAAATGAGAAAGGGCAGAGTCTGTTGAGAAGGAACAATATGGTGGCCTTCTGAGCTTTTGCCCTGATCTTCTTTCCCGAAAGAAAAAACATTAATGGGGAAGTACCGCGATTGGCCCCTTCCTTTTTAGAAACTTGGCCATGTAGGACATCTGAGTTGTCATCTGCTGGGTGACTTGTGCAATTGGACAGCCGTCGTGCCCCAACTTCTCAGAGTCTCCCGGCGAGGCAGCAGGGCTGACTCTCAAGCTGCGTTCAGACTGACTGGGCTCAAAACCACTTTGCAGATCTTCCCGAGGCTGATGGAGAAAGCAAAAGAGGAAATTCCAGCCTAGAGAATATACGGCGTGTCCTCTTAATAAAATGCAAAGAATGAAATCCAGGTACTCAATAAATAAAATACATTTCTATATCATAAATAGGACAATCTTACAGCCAGATACCCAAGCATATATAAACACTGGTATTAACAAACAAGAGTGTGTAGCCACACGTCAATGAGATACAAGGTATGAATATAATTCACTGTACAAAACAACTGTATTCTGAGGGTATTGATTCTGTGTTTCGACTTTTAAAGTCTTCTTCAGTGGCATACAAGTAAAGAGGGGCCTGTACTTGGATATGGGCCCAGAAGGCAGAGTCATATTGTGATTTGCTGCAACAAGGTTCTTTTGTGGGTTGAAAAAAAAAGACCTGTTGCTCTTCAGACCCCAGCAGCAAGTTTATTCTTCTGCTATTGGGAGAAATAGCCATGGGGTATTTTTACCAGGTAAACACTTGGCCAGTTCTGCATGTTTGTCTCCCTAAGCCAGCCCCCTCCCAACCTGGTGCCTCCAGATGTTTTGTATGTTAATCCATCAGCCTCAGCCAGCATGGCCAGCCAGGCAGCAATCTGGAGTTGGGGAAGGGTACAGTAGTCACTAAATTAAAAGATGCCTGCTTCTTGGGAGAAAAGCAATGACAAACCTAGACAGCATCTTTAAAAGCAGAGACATCACCTTGCCAACAAAGGTCCGTATAGTTAAAGCTATGGTTTACCCAGTAGTGATGTATGGAAGTGAGAGCTGGACCATAAAGAAGGCTGATCGCCGAAGAATTAATGCTTTTGAATTATGGTGCTGGAGGAGATTCTTGAGAGTCCCATGGACTGCAAGAAGATCAAACCTATCCATTCTGAAGGAAATCAGCCCTGAGTGCTCACTGGAAGGACAGATCCTGAAGCTGAGGCTCCAATACTTTGGCCACCTCATGAGAAGAGAAGACTCCCTGGAAAAGACCCTGATGTTGGGAAAGATGGAGGGCACAAGGAGAAGGGGACGACAGAGGACGAGATGGTTGGATAGTGTTTTCGAGGTTACCAGCATGAGTTTGACCAAACTGCGGGAGGCAGTGGAAGACAGGAGTGCCTGGCGTGCTCTGGTCCATGGGGTCACGAAGAGCTGGACACGACTAAATGACTAAACAACAACAACAACATTATCCCAAGGAGGGGAACATCTGGCCCTGTGGATATAGTTGGATTCACAAAACACATGTCACAGAAGAGAAGCACGATAGGCTGAAGGGCTAGTAAATTGCCGAGGTAAAGGTGGAGATGGCTTCTGAGCCCCCAGACACAAAGCCCATATTTGTTTGCTCCAAAACCCACTTCCCATAAGGGAAACTGGTGAGGCTAAAAGAATTGATTTTTCAGAAAAGATCTTGGAATAAGTTGGAGCAGTTCTGCTCCTCTCACCGTATCCTGATGTAACTGGTGAGAAAGCAGTGGTATCGCTGGCAAAGCACATCCTCAATAACTGATAAAGAGCTATTGGAGATACGAACCATCTTACCGTTTTGGTAACGTCCCTAGCAAGCAACAGGCCTCGCCCAGTCTTAGTGGCTTTGTGCTTTGGTGTCCCAGGACTCTGGTCCTTTGCACTACCCAGTTCTTTCTGTAAGGGGGGTTGCAGCTGGCAGACAGATAGGCTGGAAGGCATGTGCCCCTCCTTGTTTTGCAAGCACCTCCTCACATGCGCCACAGCCGCTTCACTTGCACCCTTTGTGGACTGAAGCTGTTTCACAAGATAAGCCGCTGTAGCAGACCACTCGTATAAAACACAGTCTCCGAGAAGATACTCCTTGTCTAGCTGGCTTTGGAGTTCCCCAGCTCTCCTGATCACTTCATCAGTGAGGAGCAGAAGGTGGTCTGCCATGGAGAGTAAGTTCCCTCTCAGTTCCTCAGAAGAAAGGCTCTCCAGAGCATCACCGACAGTCTTTTTGACCATCTGGATATTTGCTCGGAGCTCATCCGCATTTTTCTCAAAGGCCTCCTTGTCTAATTCGACCCTGTCGCCTTCACTGCCACATGGCAAAGGCAGGGTTCGGCTGATGATGCTTCGGATGCAACTCAAGTATTCTCCATTGATCACACTCATCTGAAGCAGAAGGACTTTGGCTGTTATGGCAAGTTCCCTTTGGAGAAGCTCAAAACGAACCGACAAATTGGGGTCAGGAAGCGGGGAGGCAGTCAGAACATCGGCAACTCCAAGCAGGGAGTATGTCAGTGTTTTCATCTGCTCCTTTAGTGCTGTAACCTCATGCTTAGCACTGTGTTCAGCACACGACAGAAGCGACAGCCTGCTTGCTTCCTGTATCCGAAGGGAACTTTCTGATACTGCTGCCAGGCTGCTCTGCAAGCAGGGCAGGTGCTTTGCTTTGTCTCGCAACTCGGTTAAGGACAATACGTCTCTTCCTATAAACTGGTCTACAGAGTTTAGGAATGCTTGGATGGTGACAGACCACAAGAGGCAATGAGCATCCATTGTCTCCAGCTCAGCTTTGTTGCTGGAGAGGGGCTGATTAACAGCCAGCGCCTTTTCAAGCAAGAGTTTTGTCCTGGCTTGCACACAAATGAATTTAGCTTGAACTCGCAGAAAGGTTTCGTGAAGTCCGGGAAGCTCAGGGAGCCCCTCGTCGTGTTCTATACGAGTGGCTTGGCCAGCCAGCTGAACAACAGCCTGTAAAATCTCCATGATCTCGCCTAACACTTTCGCATTGTCAGAAAATTCGGGAGAGGATCGAACGCAAATTAACTGCCTAGCCAGGCTGTACCAGGAACTTGCAACAACGGTCAGACCTTCCTTAACTGCATCAATTCTCTCCGAGAGCAAAACTGCTGTTTGCTGAAGTGTCTCTGTGCAAGGAATAGAGTTTGCGTCTACCTCTCTGGTTGAGCTAATAAGACAAGGGATTAATGTCACTATTTCTCTGTATTGCAACAGTTCCTCTGACACATGCAGCTTAGAAACCTGCAAGGCCTCTTTAGCAGCATCCACCCAACAACTGGAAAGCTCCAATAAGTCAGAGCAAGCACTGTTCAGACTTGTGACATTGTGTGTCTTTGTAGCTGCTAGGATCTCGCTGACCAGAGTGTGCATATTGATCTTTCCACTTGCACCTTCAGAAAATAAATCACTGCCACTAGGATTTGTGGAGGAAGAACAAGGGATAGACCTGCCTGAGAGCTCTTCCAGTAATTCTGAATTGTTTGAACTACTTTGCTTTGTGGTGCTTTGTGTGTCAAGCTCTAGAAGGTCCTGGGGAGTGGAACAATCTGGAACATCTTTGAAAAGAATGCCGCTTCGAACACCCACCCGAAGTGGGCTGAGAATATCTGGCTGATTGCACTCATCCAGTCCCAGTCTGACATTGCAAGCAGCCTCCATCAAATCTTTTGCCCTCTTTGAATATTCATCTTTGGCTTGCAGACTAGCCATTCTTCCCAGACACTGATCTGCAGCAACCTTCACCTGCGGTATGGCATTTTCCAGTTGCTTAATTAGAACCAGCAGTCCATTCCGGAAAATGGGATCTCTGGCTCTGTTCAGATGTCTGCTAATAAACTCAACAACTTGCACAGCTCTTTTGGAAAGACTGGATGCGTGCTGAGAAAACTCTCCAGACTGCTGCTCCTCTAAGGCCTTTTCGCTCCTTGCTTTGTGCTCCACCATGTCCTGCAGACATAATTCGAGGAATTCACGCAGATCAATTACTTTGTCCAAACACATCAGCAGGCTTTCGGTTGTGCTCAACCACGTCTGACACAGGAAGTGCAATTTTTCGGGTGCACCCTTACGACCTGGAGGGTGGCTCATTTCACTGAGGAGGGCAGGCACAGTGGCAAGAAGCCTACTCAGATGGTCTACACAGCCTTCGATGCTTTGAATGGTTTTCCTTTCAGTGCAGGTGACTAGAACAAAATTTGTCGCTTTGAGCATCTGGTTGGAATGGTTGAAGAATTCAGTAGTGAGAGGCTTCAGTTTTCTTAGGAATCCTCCATTTTCAGCAGGAGAACATGGTTGCATGGCAGCTTCCACCAACCTCTTAATGGGTCCTTTGGTCTCCACAAAATTGTCCAGAACCTGATAGAGAACAGCAGTACGTACTGCTTGATCAAGATTTTCCATCTCTGCTCTCATGGCAGAACATTTCTCTTCTATACTACCCCCTCTCTGGTTTTCCACTGGGAAACCCTCCAATGTGCCCTCATTTGTGGCAATCATCTTTCTGAACTTCAGGAGGCGATGGCAGTGCTGGACCAGATTGAGCTTCACAGGTCCTCTTGATGAGTCAGCTAACAGCATGCTGTAGAATACTAATGATTCTACAAGGAAGCTTATCTCACCCTCATTGGACTGAGGTCTGGACAGGAGGCTCAAAACATTGTGCAAATGGTGAGGAAAGAGCCCGGTTCTTTCATGTAGTTTCTTTGTTCCCACCTTGTTCCTCAGCTGGGAGATCAATTCCTTCACCGTGCTTCTTGCCAAGCCAAAAATATAGCTTTTCGAGACTTCCACTTGCTCATCACCAGCGTGCTTTAAGCTGCTGAGTTTTGCTGTGTACAGCATCGGAATGCAGTTCTTAAGGAGCTGTAGGGTTTGAGCCAAGTGCTTCCGACAAGATTCTTTCAGATCCCAAAGAAGTCTTTCTGTCAATTTGGTCAGCAGCAACAAAGCCTCCGAAAAGCTGCGGAAAGTGACCAGCATTGCGGATACGTCTTCAGCAGGTTCCAGTACAAGGAGGCAGTTGAAAAGCCAGTGGGCAGCTTGAATTATCTTCCTAACCAGGGCATCATCTTCTGCTTGGAGGACCTAGTAAATTAATTAAGAACGTATGTATTATTATTTTTTAATTGCATTGGAATAATCATTTTGGTTGAGGGAGATTAAACACCACCTGTATTTTGAGAATGTTGATATATAAATACTAGTTATAATGTTAAAAGCACAGGTATATTAGCAGCTTTCCTGTGCTGTCATCTCATTTTATGAAGGTCAGGATTAAAATAAAAATAAAAATAGATTTTAAAATGTCAGCATAGTTGCAATAATCTACAGTGGTACCTCGGGTTACATACGCTTCAGGTTACAGACTCTGCTAACCCAAAAATAGTGCTTCAGGTTAAGAACTTTGCTTCAGAATAAGAACAGAAATCATGCTCCGGTGGCGTGGCAGCAGCAGGAGGCCCCATTAGCTAAAGTGGTGCTTCAGGTTAAGAACAGTTTCAGGTTAAGAACGGACCTCCGGAACAAATTAAGTACTTATCCCGAGGTACCACTGTATTTGGCAACTCTTATAGTGTCATTATAGCGTCATGCTTTTGTATTATGGTGCTGGAGGAGACTCTTGAGAGTCCCATAGACTGCAAGAAGATCAGACCTACCCATTCTGAAGGAAATCAGCCCTGAGTGCTCACTGGAAGGACAGATCCTGAAGCTGAGGCTCCAGTACTTTGGCCACCTCATGAGAAGAGAAGACTCTCTGGAAAAGACCCTGATGCTGGGAAAGATGGAGGGCACAAGGAGAAGGGGCGACAGAGGATGAGATGGTTGGACAGTGTTCTCGAAGCTACCAGCATGAGTTTGACCAAACTGCGGGAGGCAGTGGAAGACAGGAGTGCCTGGCGTGCTCTGGTCCATGGGGTCACAAAGAGTCGGACACAACTAAACGACTAAACAACAACAATAGTGTCATTATCCTAAAGGCAGGAATGGGGAACCTCAAGCCCAGAAGCTGAATGCAACCCTCCAAGCTCCTCTTTCTACCCAGGCCACATGTCTCATTGTTCCTGCTTAGTACCTTGAGTGCTTTGGCCCAGCTAGAATGTGTCCTTAAACTCAGACAATGCCTCTTGCTTGCCTGGATAAAGAAAAGAGAGGGGTGTGCGAGTGGGTGCAGAAACTAGCTGCTGTACAAAGGGAAAAATTACATCCATTACTCCACCCATTTTTGCATCTGGCCCTGCCCACCACCAGCATGTGGTGGTGCCCAGAAGGTTGCTAAGAAGGGAATGTGGCCCCCTGGGTTGAAAAAGATTCCCCTACGCTCTCCTAATGTTTCAAAGATGGGCTTTCATTTTCATATATTACCTATATAATATTATTGCAAGAAAGAAGTCGTCATGCTGTAGTTCGCATGGCCACCACTAGGTGGCCAGGTGAACCTCAGTGTGACAACAACAGGTGAAGTGAGCAAGCAGGTAGGCAGGCCTTGCCATGCTCCCCCGGTCATGTTGCTGCCGCCACCACTCGCCTGCCCATCATGAGCAACATGAATGATGACTGTAGCATACCTTCCAACATTTCTCCGATGAAAATAGGGACGTCCCACTCCATAAAAATAATAACAATAATTTTATTGTATATATACCCTGCCGATCTGATGGGGTTGCCCCAGCCACTCTAGGCAGCTTCCAACATAATCAAACATTTAAAAGCTTCCCTATACAGTGGTACCTCGGGTTAAGTACTTAATTCATTCCGGAGGTCCGTTCTTAACCTGAAACTGTTCTTAACCTGAAGCACCACATTAGCTAATGGGGCCTCCCGCTGCCGCAGCGCCGCCAGAGCACGATTTCTGTTCTCATCCTGAAGCAAAGTTCTTAACCTGAAGCACTATTTCCGGGTTAGCAGAGTCTGTAACCTGAAGCATATGTAACCCGAGGTACCACTGTACAGGGCTGCCTTCAGATGTCTTCTAAAGGTTGTATAGATACTGATCTACTTGGCTCGGGGGTTGGATAACTCCATACCCTCAAAAAATTCTCTGATGAATATAGGGACATCCTAAGGAAAAGTGAGACATTCTGGGATCAAATCAGATTCTGGGAAACAGGGACGGTCCCTGGAAAACAGGGACACTTGGAAGGTCTGCTGCAGTCTCTAGTAATATAAATACAAATTCACAGTGCAATGAAGTCTGGGCATGTATGTAAACGCCACAAGCTTTGTTCCTCCTTAATGAGCAGAATGGTCCACCAGTTACGGTGCCCTGCACCCAGCAGGGACCGGCCTCTCTCGGGATACTGCAAGGCCTGCCCCCAACTCCCCACTGACTCAGGAAGGCCGAGGGAGGCGTATGACGCCATATAGGAGAGGTTGCATCCAGCAGTTTGTAGCCATTAACTGGCGAAGAAAACATCACTGAAACACTGGTGAGCGAGCTCGTTTGTGTTTAAACACACTGGAAATATGTTTGTCATACTTTTATGGTTTCCACGAGGATCCTTTTTGCAGATGAAGCCAGTTCCTCTAGGCAGTTCTTGGCATCGGGTTGAATGAGAAGCTTCTGAGAAACCAGGAGGATGTTTTCCCCAGAGATCAGGAGAGATTCCGCTGCGGGTGCCATTTCCCGCTTTAGCACCTCATCATCGGATTCTTCAGCCAGCCTAGAATCAGGCAGAAGATAATAATAGTAATAATAATAACAACAATAACAATAATAAATATTGTTATTATTATTTCTACCCCACCCTCCCCAGCCAAAACAGGGCTCAGAGCGGCCAACATAAAATAAATAAAATCAGGCAATCAATTAAAACACATCCTAAAATCAAATCAGAATCAAAGTGAAATCCAGTCAGATGGCAACCTGCAGATTAGGGCTGGGAACCTTAAATGCTCACCAGCCTAACTGTTTGTACTGATCATATATGAGCCTGTGAGAAAAGTGGGGGGGGGCACTTTCATTCAAGTTCTTATAAGGAGAGAGGGGGAGTCAGACTGGACCCTGACCAAAGGCCAGGTGGAACAGCTCCGTCTTGCAGGCTCTGCGGAAAGATATCAGATCCCGCAGGGCCCTGGTCTCTTGTGGCAGAGCATTCCACCAGGTCGGGGCCACAGCCGAAAAGGCCTTGGCTCTGGTGGAGGCCAGTCTAACCTCCTTAAGGCCCGGGACCTCCAAGATGTTATTTGTTATGTACTGAAGTTCTCACCCTGGGCCAGCAGGGGGATACTGTAGATAGTTTTCACTCAGGTCCACATACGCAAATAAGGGATTGAAAGTGACGTTCAGTGATTGGATAGTTACAGAAAGTTGTTACAGTTGCGTTGTAGTGGAGCTCTATATAAGCAGGCTGGCTGAACCCTTCAGTTCAGTTCTGTTCTGGCCTGTGAATTAACAAGAGCTGTTTGAAGAATCGCTGTGTCGTCTGATATGTTCACCCACAACTTAACATTATTATTTGCGGACCGTAAGGTCCTCCATGGGGCATACCAGGAGAGGCGGTCCCGTAGGTATGAGGGTCCTAGGCTGCATTGGACTCAGCTCAATAACTCTTTTTCTAGAAAAATAGCACTGGAGGGCCCCCTCCTGAGCCAGCATCGCTTCCTCTGATGGCTTAGCAACAGTGATGGATTAGGTGTCCTTAGCAATGCCTGATGAGTGCTGAATCATGAGAGCTACCTCCACAATTTGCATGCTAACTTTCTTCAGAAATGGCCAACTGACTTTTGTTTTTCTTTTTTAATGAACGTTAAGAGACTGGAGCCACTGCTGGTCTTGGGCCTCTCAAAATCCTATTCTTTCTACCCATCTGTCGATGGCCCTGCAGGACAACTTGGCAAGCCCAGTCCCTGACTTAACATATGGGGGGGGGGGATTTGGATGGCTAGTTGGTTGGTTTGAGCCCAGATTTCAAATTGAACTATTTTACTTTAAAAAATAAATACTACCTCCTTGCAGTAGAGGAAAGCTGTCCAGTAGCTTTGGCTAATTCCTCCGCTGCCTCCTGTAAACCAGCCAAACCTTCACGATTCACTTCTCCCCATTGTACTGCTATAATTAAGTGGTAAAGTTCAGCAACCATGGGTGAAATAATTCTCTCGGTGGATTTGGTGTAAACAACAGCAGTGATGTCATACAGAGAAAAAGGTTCCATTGCTTCGGCTCTGGAAATAGGAAAACCACTGTTACCTAAGTCAGTTCTACAATGTAAACAAAGGGATGTTAATACAGTGGTACCTTGGGTTAAGAACTTAATTCGTTCTGGAGGTCCATTCTTAACGTGCAACTGTTCTTAACCTGAGGTACCACTTTAGCTAATGGGGCCTCCCGCTGCGGCTGTGCCGCTGCAGCCGCACAATTTCTGTTCTCATCCTGAAGCAAAGTTATTAACCCGAGGTACTATTTCTGGGTCAGCGGAGTCTGTAACCTGAAGCATCTTTAACCTGAAGCATCTGGATCCTGAAGCTTCTGTAACCTGAAGCGTCTGTAACCCGAGGTACCACTGTATAGTTACTAAAGTGCTTGCCCCATTCCCCAAATAGTGGTACCTCAGGTTACATACGCTTCAGGTTACAGAAGCTTCAGGTTGCAGACTCCGCTAACCCAGAAATAGTGCTTCAGGTTAAGAACTTTGCTTCAGGATGAGAACAGAAATCGGGCTCCAGCGGCGCGGCGGCAGCGGGAGGCCCCATTAGCTAAAATGGTGCTTCAGGTTAAGAACAGTTTCAGGTAAAGAATGGACCTCCGGAACGAATTAAGTACTTAACCCGAGGTACCACTGTAAATTTGAAATTCCAGAGGTGGGCATTTGTACTTCCTGTTTCCATGTGATGAAAGAGCACTGAGGACTTACTACATCTTTGTAACCACAGCTTATTTACCAATACAGAAACAGATCACATTGGTTAGCAGGCAGAAGAACTACTAATTCTGCTTCAGATCCCCAAGGACCAACTGCATTGCAGGAATATCTTAGCTGTAGCTGAAACACTCAGCTGAAAATACTCCCAACTCTCTCTTCTGACGCTATACATATTTCTGCCAGACTCTGATGAGTAACACAATGCTGATATGGTATGTTACTCCTGTTTTAATAAATTTACCATATCAACATTACCTTTTAGCAGTACCTAACAATACCTAACTGCCATATTTAGTGAGGATTCATGAATTTAAAAAATATAATTGTAGAGATATTTTCCCCTTTTAATTTCTGCCAATCAACACATTAGAAGATTAACAGATTTAGAGTGAATCAGCAATTCTGACTTGTTAACTGCATGTGTTAATTGGCTTACCAATGTGTAATATCTGTGTTGTCAACAGCTCTTTTTGTGAATGGTGACTGTTAATAACCTAACAATCGCCAGCTGTGCTTTTCTACATTTCATTTCCTCCTTACCTGGCTGTTTACATTTCCTACCCATCCCTAACTATGTGGGTCTGGCTGTGTATGTGATTTGTGATACACACGCACACACACACACACACACACCCCACTCAGGGTGACATAGATCTGAAGAAAAGTGCCGTGGTTCACACAAATGCCACAATAAATTTGTTAGTCTTTAAAGTGCCACAATACTATCTGGGAATTTTTGCTGAGACGTACTAACAGAGCTATCCCGCCAGAAGTTGTTAATCTGCCATATGCATGTTTTAAATCGAAATATTTAAAGTTCTGATAGGCTCGGAAATAGCTATGCACATAAAATGAAATTATTTTCAGAGTGGAAGGTAAAAACATGTGCAGTCCCGCTTTTTTATGAGAATCATTCAAACACACCCCACACACCGCTAGAACGGACACCCACACATGAAGGAAGAGTGATAACTTACGTATGTTGCTGCAAAGGGAGAGTCTATTGGTTTCCAAATGCACACTTCTCATTAATGGACTAGAAATGGCAGCTTTCATAAATAATTTATCTTGGCTTGTTTACAAGTAATCGGAGCCATCGGCAGATGTGATGCCTGTCATGGCAACAGGCAGTCAGCTGATCGGGGACCTGACATCACTGTCAGTGGGTCTGGCTGGCAAATCATGGTGAACCTGTTAAGAACTAAAACGGGGCAAACCTCCCACAGCTACCAGACCTCACGCCTGATGTCTTAGGAGATCTGAACCATAAGGAGTTGAGGGACAGGTAAAAAATGAATTCTTATATGACAATGGTAGAATGAGACAGAGAGGTGGAGCATATCTACACCGATGTACAGAGGTGAGGGAGAATTTTAATTTGGTTCACACTTAAAGGCAAATCTACTTAATTCTCACTTTACCTGAAGCATTGCACAAATTGAATCACAGACAGCTTTCAAAATTTGCACTTCTACAAAAATTTCACTGCAGTTCTAAAGCCAAGGAATGTGCACAAACATTCAAATGCTAGGGTAAAGTGTTTCAGGAAAAGGCATGTTGGTGAAAACTGCATACGAAAATGAAAACCGATTTGCAAAAATGTGTTTACGCCATAAAATTGCATGCAAGAATGTTTCTATTAGGATAAATTCTCACTGAAATGTTGGCAAGTTTTCACTGGGGCTTTTATTTATTATTATTCTTCCCAAAAAAATTGCAAACTGATGTGGAAATGTGGTGAACCTAACTTTAGGCTGGAGAAACAAGAAACTGAGAGAAACTGAAATTGACAGGCTTCCCCATCCCCTCCAACAGGAAACAGGTCCATCAAATTTCACTAGACCTGAAGTTCAAGCTGATACAACAATCATTACTATTTTGTACAAGCAATACATCTTTGATGCCATTTCATGAGCGGTCTGATAAATGTTGGTGCTGCCACACAGAATATACCTCACTGAGCCACATGCTATGGTCACGGCAAAGGAATTGCCCCATCCATGGGAAGAAGTGTGTTCTTGTAGAAAGATATGAAATCTGTGGGTGTTAAGCTGCTCATAGACAACATGCCTGTATTGTGGAGTCTGACTGATGGGACAGCGTCGTTGAACATGGAAAGGTCTTATTGTGAAAATTCTGGTGCTTCAGCCTCGGAGACAGCGCCACTTTCCAATGCCCAGCGGACCCAACAACTCTTGGTGCCTTCAGACATGCTGCTTATCCTAGACAGCACTTGGGCACCTGCAGGGAAACTCAAAAGAGCTGCTGCCAGTCCGTGTAGACAGCATTGAGCTAGATAGACCAATAGTCTTGACTCAGTGTAAGGCCACTTCTTAAAACCCTATGGCCTGTATGTAGATCCTATTGGTGGGTGCTGAACACCCCTCAACACGGACTTTATTCCCAGTGCAAACAAGATTCTCCCTGCTTCCACTCCACTTCTTCCTTTCTCTTCCATGCCTCTAACACCGCAACTATAGCACAATCACAATGGCAAGTGGCCATTGTCAGCCTTATCCTCCACAAATTCATCTAATCTTATTTCAGAGCCATCCAAACCAGTCCCCATTAAAGGTAAAGGGATCCCTGACCCTTAGGTCCAGTCGTGACTGACTCTGGGATTGTGGCGCTCATCTCGCTTTACTGGCCGAGGGAGCCGGCATACAGCCTCCGGGTCATGTGGCCAGCAGAACCTTCTGGTGAACCAGAGAAGCGCATAGAAATGTGCAGTACCTATTTATCTACTTGCACTTTGACGGGCTTTCGAACTGCTAGGTTGGCAGAAGCAGGGACCGAGCAACGGGAGCTCACCCCGTCGCGGGGATTTGAACCGCCGACCTTCTGATTGGCAAGTCCTAGGCTCTGTGGCTTAACCCACAGCGGCACCCACGTCCCTTAGAGGATGCCAATATGAGAACAAGCCTTTTCTGCAGTGGCTCCATTTGTGGAACGCTCTCCCCAGGGAGGCCTGCCTGGCACCTTCATTACATATCTTCAGGCAGAAACGAGTCTCTTCCAACCAGGAATTTGGCCGATTCTATGGCTTTTTAAAGTGTTTGTGGGTTTATTTTTGTTATGCATTCTGTATTTTCGTTTTCTATTTTTCTTATATCTTAGAACTGCAGTGTTTTAAGGGGTCCCAAGGATCATCTGGTTCAACCCCCCTAATGCAGGAGTCTTTTGCCCAATGTGGGCTCGACCCCGCCTAAGATTGAGTTCGTACTGTACCGACGAGTCTCCAGGCACATCCATCTGTTGTAACGCCCAGATCTTGATAGAGCAGTGTTTTCAACCACTGTTCCGCGACACTAGTGTGCGCGAGAGTTGCTGGTCTGGAAAATGAAAAATTCGAAGATTAAAATAAAGTATTATAATTTCATATTTGTTACTATTCAATAAAGTAATTAAAATACTTCTTATTTGTTCTATTCAGAATACTTTTATATAGTATTAGGACAGATGTAATTTTTAAACTTTTCTAATGTGGTGTGCCTCGTGATTTTTCAGGAACAGTGTGCTTTGCCAAAAGTTGAAAACACTGAAGAGGGTGATATGCAAATTTAACAATAACATTTTGTGGGAGTTGGATGAGGTTATCCAGCCGGCCACTGATGGTAGCAGCACGATGATGGGTTTGCTCGTTTTGGGCGTGCGTGTGAGAAAGAGAGAGGATGCGTGTGTAGCAAGGAGGGCCCAAAACCCCATTGTCTGCACCCAGCTTGCCGCAGGGCACATACTTGGAGATGCTGCGCGCCTCTGCTACGGCTCCTCTCGAACCGGCGCAGAGAATCGGCCCCCTTTGCACTTCTGATCCGGAGCGAAATCACACGATCGCGCACTCGCACACCGAATCAGCTCCGAATCAATCGCACCCAAAGAGTTTGATAAGTGTTCTGGGAACAGAAAGGACAGTCTGCCAGACGCGGCGAGGCGTTTGTTTCCGGAGCCCGGCCCCCTTTTGCTCCCTGACCCCTGCGCTCCGCGGCCCCGGATCACGGCGGGGTGGAGCCAAGATGGAAGAGGAGCCGCTGCCGACGCTGCCGGAGGGGGAGAGGCTGCCTCGGTCTTCCCAGAAGGCGTTTCCTCCCTCCTCCAGAGATAGGCGTGCGCCTCTCTGCAAGCGGCAGTGAAAGTTCGGGCTTGTGAGAGCGCCTTCTCCGCAGGGGCGACCATGGCCCTCCGGGGATCGCTGGAGGGACCCGGGGGCCGCTCGGCCGCCGCTTTTTGATCCGGCTCCTGCTGCTGCCTTCGGCGCCTTCCTCGCGAGCATGTAGGAAGGGGTGCCAGGAAATGCTCGGGAGTCCAGCGCTCGAAGGGAAGGTGCCCGGGCTCTGATCCAAGGAAGGCGCGCGCCCGGATCCCACCCCCGGCCACCCTCCCCGGTGCCGCGGAACCGGAGTCAGACCCGGCGGCAAGCCTCCTTCGCTGCGTCCTCTCGGTTTCGCCGCCGCCGCCCCTAACTCGTTTTTGAGCCCGGCAGGGTGGATACGTCTCTTGCAATGCCGGTTTGGATGGTTTTTATTTTGGGGGGGCTAAGAGACGGCGGGGCCCCCACGCCTTTTTAATCCATGGGTCAGGGGCTTGCGCTTTGATCCGGCCAGGTGGGGCGGGGGAGTGGCAGCGCATTTTGCGCCTCTATTTATTTATTTATGGTTCATTTTTAAATATACACATATATAAAGATGTACACGTTTGTGGCACGGGATGAGAACAGCAGCGTCTACGCGGAAGTCTCCAAAATCCTGCTTTCCACCGGACAATGGAAGAGGCTGAAAAGGGACAACCCCAGGTTTAACCTCATGCTGGGGGAAAGGAACAGGCTGCCATTTGGGAGACTGGGTAAGCGAGCTATGGGGCTGACAGTTATCCGGGCAAACGAGCTGGCTGGGGTTTTATTTGCGTTCTCGAGCATCAGGTTTCCGCGCAACACTCCTAAAGCTGTGCTTGGTTGTATGGGCGCGCGGGGGAGGCAGCCGGCTGCGTTGGAAGCGATACGGCGCCGGGTTTCCTCCCCCTAGACCTGCTTCTTATGTATGCAACTGCTTAAGTTTGGGTGCACAAGAGGAGGGGCGTGAGAGAGAGTGAAGGAGAGGGTCTGTCTGGCTCGTGGCGCATATAACTAGATTTGGGTGTTGGCTACTGCAACCAGGGAGTGACTTGACTGTTTGGCAAGTCCGCTTGGGGATTTGCTTTTTCGTGGGGGGGTTGGAGGACAGAAAGTAGCTGTACTGGCACAACGTCATAAAATTGGCATCCCTTGTACCTTCACCTCCTGATATATTTGTTATCAGTGTTTTTTAATGAACCAAAGGATTGCGGCAATTGTGAAACTAATTTGGACTGGGGTGCTCCTCTTGCTAAGGATAATGATGCATATGGTTGGGTCTCAATCACAACATAATGCTGAGAATCACATTTCTATGGGAATACTTAGATTTCCGCCTCACTCCCAAAGGAACCACTGGAGAGCAAACTTATATGGCAGCCAGTCCCTTATTAGGTACTGAAATGTCATTTTTACTTTTTCATATTAGACCGGGGTTAGAAGCAACCACAGATCTCCAGCAAGCTGCCCTTTGGCAGGCTTTGTCGTACCTTGACCATTTTTTTAAAAAGACTGCTGGATCTCCAAATGTTCAGCAAAAGTGTTGTTGTGTGTGTGTTATTGTTGATGATAAAAGTAACAATAGTGCCCTTTATTGAAGTGACATGGGAAGGACTTTTCTAGTATTTGGGAAATAGTAATTAAACTGTGCACAAAAGACGGGTGAATCTTAAACAGTTGTTATGTATTTAATTCAAAGACCCAAACACTTGGCAAAAAGAGTTTAGTTCACTAATCTCCTATATTTGAATTGTTCATAGTTACTGGTTGACTAACTTTAAAGCTGATCCACATTGAAAGCTGATCCACAGACCACTGGGTATAGGGTAGTATATAAATTATTATTATTATTATTATTATTATTATTAATCTAAACAAAAATGAATGACACTACAAATTTCTGTGCTGCCTCATAATTTTGTGTAATAGTCTTTATTTTCTTCAGTGGGGTTATTTTTAAAATGCCATTTGCGGACTCTTGTGAGTCAGGCAGACAAGACATTTGAGCCTGTTCAGCCAAGAGAGAATAATGTGCTTTTGGAACAGGTGGCTTCTTCGAGAGATGAATTCCTGGGAGGAGAGAGAGCATTAGGGGGGTGTAGGAATAGTGGCGACAACCCCAGAGAAAACTGTAGTCCAAAATACCTGGAAGGCACATGGCGAAGGACGAGCTCCATTGGTTGACTTTGGGGCAGGATGAGCTTTGGGAGGATGGAATAAGTCCTGGATTATTATTTTTTGGGAAGAATTGCAGAAATACCTTGCTCATAACAGCATTGGAAGGTGCATCAAGGATTCTAGTAGGCCTGAAGCTAAGCATGAGTCAGTAGCTAAAAAGGCTGAGTCAGGAACAAGTTCCATAATTTGACTATTCACTGCACAAAGAGGTACTTCCCTAAATCTTCCAACATTCATTCAGCTTTATTGGATGCCTACAAAGTCCTAGTGTTACGAGAGAGGGAAAAAAAATTTCTCTGTCCACTTTCTCCATGCCATGCAGAATTTTATAAACTTCTATCGTATCACCTCTTTCTTTTCTCCGAACTAAAAAGTCCCAAACGCTGCAATCTTCCCGAACAGAGGAGTCTCTCATCCCCTTGATCATTTTGGTGACCCTTTCCTGAACCTTTTCCAACTCTGCAATATCCTTGCAAGAAAGGGGATTTCAGCTAAGTATTAGAACCTCGTGGTGCTGCACACTGGAACAAGGTGGATGACTTTGCTCTCATTAGAAGGTTTTAAGCAGAGGCTGGATGGTTCCCCTTTAGGGATGTTGGGTTGCTGGCACTAGATAGTTGGATTGGTGAACTTGGTGGATTCTTTCGCCTCTTACGATTCTGTTAATCTCAAGTTTTTCAGAAAATCAAACTAGGAGAGAAGAGTCCCAGCCTTCTGCCACCCTACAAGGATCACACACTGAGCCGTGTGCTTCTTTCTGAGATAAATGGGCAGTCATAATAATAAACAGTCCTATGTATGTCTAGTCAATGGGATTATTCCCAAGTAAGTGCATATAGGATTGGGTACATTCATGGGTACATGAACAGGATCATTATTTAAGCAAACCAAACAAATCCATATGTTCCAACTGCAGACTAATCCTACGGAAATGTAAACGTCATGGAAACTAGCCTTGAGGGGAGTGTGACAGTAGGATAGGCTCTGCAGTTGCTCTGCTCCCAACATACAGAAGTCCTTCTCCAAGGTTATGAGCTCCCTGCTTTGCCATTTCATCTCCTGTGTGGATCATGAATCTCAGTAATTGTTTTAACTGATGCATGAGTAAGAACAGCCGGGTTCAGCTGCTCTAGATAGGGGACATACCAGCAGCTGCACCAACTCGAGGAGAACCCAAGAACTAGGACCAACGCAAGGAGTGCCCCATCCAAGATAGGTTGTACCTCTCCATCTAGATTGATCACATGTACACAGACATGGTACCTCCATCTTGGTCTGCATTAAGGACAGTTTCAGAGCTCGGGACAGCTAACGGAGGATATTCTCATAACTCACCTCGTGTGGCCTTCTAACTGGAAGGAAAGAAGTGTGTCTTATCCTGTTTGTGGATTGGACACCTCTGCAAAACTGTTGTTGTTGTTTAGTCGTGTCCGACTCTTCGTGACTCCATGGACCAGAGCAAGCCAGGCCCTCCTGTCTTCCACTGCCTCCCACAGTTTGGTCACACTCATGTTTGTAGCTTCGATAACACTGTCCAACCAAACTACAACTGCTTTTGTGCTAGTGTTACTGATGGAATGATTGCAAACAAAATGCAAAGTCAGAATAGCTGGCCAGGCAGCAGGACTGGTGAGCAACAATTCAGACAAAGGAAGTTAGGACTGATTGATAATGGAACATGAGTCAGCAATTAAGGATGGTTGCATAAAATGCTAATGGACTGCATTAGCAGAAAACTTCATGTCCAGATTTCAGGAACCAGTGCTGATTTTCTTGGCTCTGATGGGTTCTCAGCTGATGCACTCTGTAAAGTTCTGGATACCACAATTATAAACAAATGAAAGATCCGCCTTGGAGCCTTGGGACTTTTCCCAGCCCAAATCCTATTCCAACAGGGCTACATTGTTGTGTGCTTCAGCAGTATATAAGGGAAGACTGGGTTAAAAGAATGAAGAAAGTACAGTATAACTCTATTTTCAAGTGGGAGTTTGCAGGCAAAGCAATAAACCTGACTCCTGGAAGGCACTTAACATGGAGCTCTCTTGAAGACAGCCTGGAAACTTCTGCTGGAACAGAATGTGGTAGCATAGCTTTTGACTAGAGGAAACTACAGGGATTGCTTAACACCAGCCTTGTGCCAACCTCATCGTTATTAGTTTGTCTCCAGTCCACATTAATGGAGTGCGCTTTCCCTAAATGCTCTGGGTGTTTTCATTGTATTTATCTTAATGAGTTGTAGGTGTCCCTGCGCATGTGCCTTTGCCACTGCAGCGTTAAAAGTGTGCTAACAGTACATTCAATTCAGGTTGTTACGATTCTCAGCTGCTCTGAAGGCCATATGGGAGAAAGCGACCTATGAACTTGAGAGCTATTTATATTTAAGGGGTGGCGCTGTGGTCTAAACCACTGAGCCTCTTGGGCTTGATGATCAGAAGGCTGGCAGTTCGAATCCCCGTGACAGGGTGAGCTCCCGTTGCTCTGTTCTAGCTCCTGCCAGCCTAGCAGTTCGAAAGCATCCCAGTGCAAGTACATAAATTGGTATCGTTGAGGCGGGAAGGTAAACGGCGTTTCCATGCGCTCTGGCACTTGTCACAGTCCTCCGTGCACCAGAAGCGGTTTAGTCCAGCTGGCCACATGACATGGAAATCTGTCTGTGGACAAACGCTGGCTCCCTTGGCCTGAAAGCGAGATGAGCGCCGCAACCCTATAGTCACCTTTGACTGGACTTAACTGTCCAGGAGTCCTTTAAAAGGTAAAGAGTCCCCTGACCATTAGGTCCAGTCATGGCCGACTCTGGGGTTGCAGTGCTCATCTCGCTTTATTGGCCGAGGGAGCTGGCGTACAGCTTCCAGGTCATGTGGCCAGCATGACTAAGCCGCTTCTGGCGAACCAGAGCAGCGCACGGAAATGCCGTTTACCTTCCCGCTGGAGCGGTACCTATTTATCTACTTGCACTTTGATGTGCTTTCGAACTGCTAGGTGGGCAGGAGCAGGGACCGAGCAACAGGAGCTCACCCCATCGTGGGGATTCAAACCGGCGACCTTCTGATTGGCAAGTCCTAGGCTCTGTGGTTTAACCCACAACGCCACCCGTGTCCCATAGGAGTCCTTTACCTTTACCTTGTTAGCTTTATATTTAAACAATGCATTAAGTGATTGCATGAATGTGCCACAATTTAAGAAGGATATTGACAAGCTGGAGTCCGTCCAGAGGAGGTCAAGCAAGATGATCAAGGGTCTTCATTTCATATGTTAGTACATTCCTTTTACTCATATTTTCAGCAGTAAACAATGCTATTTAAAAAATTTGTTTGATCACTTTCCTTTTTTTCTGAACCCCTTCTGTTTGAAATTTGCACCAGTATGGTCTATAAAGCATCTCCAACAGGGATGTATGATTGATTGGCATAATTATATTAAAATTGCTATTCCCCCCTTCCCCCCACTTTATATTTTGATCTTAGCTTCATGCATCAGAGTGGTTGTTTCTGTTTTTAGCCATGCTCAGATTCTTTTCTTGAGCCTGAGGGTATAGAGTGCACCGCCTCACAGATGT